TCTTTTTTCTTTTAAGTTTACCAGGATATTACATACAGAAAGCACCAGTCTAGTAAAGGCCACAACAGACCTTCAAATAAGGGGGCAGGGGTAGAGTGGGTGAAGGGTGTCAAAAAACAGTTAAATGAGAGTAAAGCTCAAGCACACATCAAGAAGTTATTAAAAGAATAAAAACAATCTGAGCTGAGTATGAGCAATGTAAATCCAAGGTTGATCAGTAGAGAAGGAAGAGGAGCAAGAAATAAGAATGGGGGGAAGGGAGGGTGGGGGTGGAGGAAGAGTAATGCAAACAGTAAAACATAACTGATATATTTTTCTTTTTCTTTTATGTCATTTGTGATATCAATCTTTTCTGGTGATAGGAAAGTAGAATAGCTTTACTATTTATCAAGATATATTTTACTTATTGATAGTAGTAAAACCGTGTCCAATATTATTGTCCCTGGCTGCACCACTGATAGCAAATGTATTAAATCTGAACAGACGGATGCCTTTGTAGTTTAAAAAATATCAAAACTGGGAGAGGGAGAGGATCACTGTGCATGAAATCATTTACAGGCATAAAACATGATTTTGATTATTTTTTTTTTAAATTAAAGTTGTTTAAACAGTTTAATCAAAGAAAAGTGACCAATTGTTAACAAGAGGTAACAAGTGGGCAGCAGTAATATAACTACTGAACCAGACATTGGTTTATTTTGGTAGGAATGGTCACATTTATAGATCATGTTTAATTATCTGCAGTTTGTTCCCTTTCAAACATGTAATATTAACTTGTGGGGAGGGGCTTCTTTTTTTTTTCTCTTTCCAATTTTAGGAACAATTTCGTTAAGAATGTTATCCCACTCTCACAGGGGGACAATTGTGGAATACAAAGAGGAGACATAGAGAAAAGGGGAGAGAGAGAGAAAAAAAAAAAAAAAAAACAAAGAAAGAAAGAATACCATTTTTTAAAAATATCTCTATATGTCCAACCCAATACTGAACAGCTGAGTACATTTTTTTTTTCTTCAAAAACTCATTCACATGATCACCACAACTAAAATTATGTACAAAAACACAACAATCTGCAACTGCTACTGTGAGTGCTATGACCTGAGAAAAAGCTGCCATTTCTAATACTGGAATGTGTTAAGTTGGTACACAAGTTCCTATGGCTATATAAAACACCCACCCATGATTGATCCACAACCCAGAAAAAGGAAAACATTTAATTATTATGGTATTATTATTATATTATCATTATCATTATTATTCACAGGTATAAAAAAAAATAAATAAAAATAAAAAGTACTGAGAGCAGTAGAAAAACAGTTCAATAATAGTGAAGTGTTAGCATGGCAAAATGACAGACACGACAAGACAGACAGACAAATTATAAACAGAGTATACAAAATGGGCAATGAAGGGCCACAAGAGGCAGCTTTGGATTTTTAGCGTGGTGGTGGTGGTGGTGGTGGTGGTGGTGGTGGCGGCGGTTTTCTATGAGAAGTCTGCCTCTCCAGCAGCAAATAGGGTTTTCGTTTTTTGTTTTAATTTTTAGTCTTTTTGCTTTGTTTTTCTTCATAATGATAGGAGTTATTATAAAGATACGACATAGACAACACACAGCCTGACTGGCAAGCTAACAAGGCCTTCTCATTGATTGTCGTAAAAGAAAAAAAAAAAAAAAAAAAATGGGAGAAAAACTTTTCTTTTCTTTTTTTTTTAAAAACACACTCAGCAGTAGTAATAATGAACATTATTTGAGCTGCCACTTGCCAGTTTGTAGCAGAAAAGATACTGCGTTGTTTTGGGGGTTTAAGATTTGCTTTGAGGTTTGTTTTTTTGTTTTTTTTTCCGTCTAATTGTTAAAAAAGGAAAAGAAAAGAGAAAAAAAGCTTTTTTTTTTCTTTTTTTTTTTTAATTCTTTTTTAAATTTTCCTAAGAGAACTTTAAAAAAAGTGTTGCTTTTTCTTTTTCTTTTTTTTTTTTTGCTTCTTCAAAATACAAACATTTTTGTAAGTTTTTTCCCAATATTTCTTCTTTAAAGTATTTTTGGGAATTCAAGTTTATTTTCTGTCAGTTTAATAATCCCTCCATCCTCAATACGTGTTGTCGAAATTGTTATGACTAAATCATGAGTGAGGTGTAATAATGTAAAATATTTTATGGATAAAAGGGTCAATAGCAGTTGTTTTATTTTTTTTCTTAAGTACTGAAGTATGATGACATTTAACAGACTGCTCAGTTCTCCCTCCTCTTTGCTAAAATACTTTCATCTGATATAATTGACATGATCATTGAGGGACTAAACCAAGGCAGCAGCAAACAGACTGGCTTAAACTGATGATGCATCTTCTAAAATTTGGTAAAGGCATGAAAATGTTACCAAGTATTTGGAGCATAAGAAATTGCTTTTGGTTATCAAAAATGAATATGTGTAATACATTTTCACCTTTACAGTTGGGAACTTATATATGTAAAAATTAGAAAATTTGAAAAAAGACTGGCTACAAATTTTGTTATTTTCAGTAGATTGAAATTTTTCACAGGTTTCTAATAATGTAAGACACTCTCTAGAAAACACACTTTATTCTTTCATATGGACTTAGGACAAATTAAATTATGTTCATTACAGTATTAATCAAAATTAGTTTTAGTCATTTAAAAAATAAAAGAATTGCATACCCCCATTTTTTTTGTTTCATTTTTTTAATTTTTTTTTTTTTTTGCTTTGTTTTGGAGAAATATTACAAAGTTATATGAAAATTACAAAATCACTTAGTATTGCAGGAGACAATTGAACATTTGGAATAAAAATGCATGTAAATATCTGGCATTGCTATTTTCATCTTTAAATGTCAATAACTGAAATGTCTTTATTTATTTATTTTTTTTGTTTTTTTCTTCCACTTTATACTATCACAATGCATTAAATAAATTCTTTAAAAATTTTAATACATAATATCAGTTTGATTAAGAAAAGAAAAATATTAGTATTTTTATCTTGAAAATAAAATTTACAGGATAATGAATGTTTGAAAATTGGAATAAATGATTATTTTTAGCAGCCTTGATAAAATGATAAATTGCAATTATTTAAAAAAAAAAAAAAAAAAAAAAATTAAATAAAATAAAAAAAAATAACAAAATGTAAAAAGAAAAAAAGGAACTGTTTCTACTAGCTGGAAAATATTCTGCAGTGGAAATCAAATGTGAACAAAAAAGAAATAAGTAGCAGCATTTTGCACATACTACATTTTGATCAACAGTGGCATTATTATACACAAGAGACTTAAAAAAGGGTAAGTTCTTACCTTAAAAACTTTTAACTGATTTTTCAGCTATTTACTGTTATTACTTCCACACATTTGTCTCCTATGTTCACAATTGTTGAATTTTACAATTTTGTAGCTGCAAAGAGGCAGATAACTTATTGGTAAATAGATTTGATCAATACAGCTTACAAATAAATTTAGGATTATTTATAGTTTTTTGGCATAGCGAAACTGAGGAATGTGTTTAGAAAACATTTTCATGGTTTAAGCATTAAAATTAAAAAATGAAATCTATTATTAGCCATAAATTTTATTGATTTTCTAATTTATTTGAATAGTTGAAAACCTATATAATATTAATCAATCTCTAAGGAAAAGAGATTCTAGTGCTGATATGCCTATAATACATCATATTTGCTAGATAGATCATCAATCCTATGTGGCTTTGTGATTTCAATAATGCAAAAATACAGAATTTAGCTGTTTGAAATTTGGATTAAATTACTTACTATAAACTACCATATAAAGGAAACTAACAAATGATATCAGTTTCTTATTTTTGGCACAGAAAAGATCACTTTGTTCAGCAACTGACATTACAAAATTTTAAAATTCATAAAATTCTAGGATTTGAATGAGAAAAATGTAGTGGAGTAAGGGACAAAGGACAACTCCAACAAATATCTTTATATGGAGATGGTTTTTGAAAATTTGCTAAGATCTGATCTACTAAAAAAAAAAATTGAGAGAGAGAGTGGTGTGTGGAAAGAGGTGGTTGAGTTTAGCACACTTTTTGTACTTAAAAACAACAAAAACAACAAAAAAAAAAAAAAAACAAACAAAAAAACAAGAAGTAGAAATTTGGTGATAAATATGAAACTTGCAGCCAGGAATTTTAAGTCTCTTACATATGTGTGCGTGTGGCTTTTTTTTTTTCTTTTGAGGGGTGGGGTGTTTTGTTTTGTTTTCCTTTCCCTTTTCTTTTTTGCTTTCCACATATTTGGAAATCAATAAAGAATCAGCATCACCAGAACAAGCTTCACCTCACTTCATTTTAGTTGACATCTTTTCTTCAAGACCTCGGGTTACTCATGTCTAAGTACGATTTGGTAAGCACCGCTCTCTGCCACCAGCATCCAATGCTGCTGCTGCAGTAGATAGAAACTAGTAACATTTCCATTGCATTGGACAATAAAACTAGGCATAATTTCAAATATCACATCACAAAAGTTTATGACTACCTATGGTCAACTTTAACCATCTTCCATAAAGATGGCCTAGACAACCACTGATTGCACCTGGTCAATTATATAATATTTAAACAACTTTTGGAATAATTTCTTTTCTTTTTTTTTTCCTCTCTCTCTTTTTTTTTTTATTTTTTTTTTTATTTTTTTTTTATTTTTTTTGTTAATGCTGGGTGGTTATCAGATCTTATTCTTTGTTTTTCGTTAATAATCCTTTTGTGTTTTAAAAAAGCAAGATAGGTATGGATTTTTTTTAGCTACGAGATCTGGTTTCACACAGGAAGATTTTTTTTTTTTTTTTGCTTCTGAAGATTTTTCTTTTTTCAAATTTTTTCTTAAATAAAAAGGGCAAAGGGGTCATACAGATACGTGTGAGTGTATATGTGTGCAATTTTAGGAAAGTGGTAAAAGAAAAAAAAATCTAGAGATCACAAAGAGAACGGGCAGGTATGAGATGGGAATCTGGAAGGGATGAAAACTTCTGGTTGAAAAGTCACATGGAATCTCCCCCAAGAATATTGCCTAACAGAGGAGTAGAACCAGGATCCTCTAGCGGAACTCCTCCCCAGAGACTAGTATTCCACATGGCATTTCCTGGAAACCCTCCAAATGATACAGAGGCAGGCATATTCCAGTGTGTGTTTTCGTTGCGGCTGCTATAGTGGGGAGGTGCCCCTGGTTGTGGTGGAGGTGGGGGTCGGTAATCTGACTGAGACGACTGTGACCATTGACTAGTGGAAGGGGGTGTAGCCGTTGTTGTTGAACTCTGCTCAACCAGATGAGTAGCCTCACGTTCAGAGACAAACTCAGCTAGAATGGTAGTATTCCCAAGCACACAGGTATTCAGGGCTTTTTGAGCTTTTATGGCTTCATCTTTAGAAGAATAGCGAACAAGAGCCTGGCCATGGTTGAGAATCAGATAGAAAAATTGCAGAGGCCCATGCTGTTGGCACAAAGTTTTCAAAGTGGAGCCATCAATCTGGAAGAAGAAAAAAAAAAAAAATTGTTTTTTTCACAATTTAAAGCTTTTTTTGTTTTTTTTGTTTTGTAATCACTATTTCTAATTAAACTAAAAAATTTTTTTTTCTTCCATCAAAAAATGAATCTCTAATTTTAGTATTAAGAATAATTCTCAATAATAAAAAAAAAAATAACGAAATAATTTTATAAACTTTTTGCAAGTCAATTTTTGTTTTTAATTTTCCAAATATAGATTTCTATGAAGTTAAATAAACATTCTATATTCCAAGTAAATTTAAAAGCCAGAGAAAAAAAAATTCAATATTTGATTAACTTGAAATGATATAAATAATAAAATAAAAACATGAATAAGATATTCACTACTTATTAATCTATAATATACTTTCATTTATGTAACTAGGTATATATTGAATGAGTTGTTAATCATAAACTCTTTGGCACCAAATATATTAAAATAACTTATTTATACATACATAACCATTACTGGGCCTTATTGTTTTAGTTGATAAAAATCAATTGTGAAGTAAGGAAATAAATTAAAAATTTAATAAGAAATTAATTTGAAATATACAGTGAATCAAAAGTTTACTGAGGTGACAGAGATAAAGTAAAGTAACAAAAATAAATTGTAATCCTAATTTTTAGTAAAAATTATTCATAAAAGATTTGTCACATTATTTACCTGGGGTGTGAGATTCCTGAGAACCAACCAGTTGCTTACAGCCCATGAAGCGGACGAGTTGACTAAAATACAAAATAAAATATCAATAGTTAACTACATTAAAATTTATTAATTTACAGCACATTAACTTTAATGAAATGATATAAAATTCTAACTTTACAAGAACAAAGACTAGAAGTTTTGACAGAATTTGTATAACTCTAAGAGAATTTTAAGATAAATGCTAATTTATAGAATTTTTATGCAGAGTAATGATTTAAAAATATGAAAAGTAATCATGAAGTTATTTTGATGAGCACATTAAAAGTTACAAGTAATTACAGCCAATGGGACTTCTTAAAATTGTACCCAATTTTCCTATATATTTTAAATATTTAAGTAGTTGTTAGCAGTGATACATTTATTATAAGTCTTAAGGAATAAATAGCTAATTTCAAAAATAGTACAGTTAGTGACTAAACAATAATTTTTATTATAAAATACAATTATGCTAGGTAAATGAGGAAAAAGTGAATCATCAAGTATAATTTTAGTGTCAAAGCAAAAAAAGTAATAATTGAATTATATTCAGATTAAAAATTGTCTAAATTAAAGAAAGGAATAAATATCAAATTAAATAAATCAGATTAATTTTTCAGAAATTCAGTGAATAGAAATTAGTGATATTTTAATAAGAGAAATAATTTTAAACAAAAATTGACTATGTAGTTTAGTTAATAGCATCATTATGAAAACCTAAATCATACAGTTGAATTTTCAGTTAGATATCCTTACAGAGGTTTTATCTATACTAATACAATGCAATATGTATGAATATAGAAATTGGTTTTAGCCACTTTCCATAAGATATTATTATAATGTTGCATTAAAATTATCATAGAGGTAGATAATTTTACAAAAATATTTTTCTTACATTATCAAGATCAAAATTGGCTTTTAGACCAAGTATTGTGACATAAAATGTTTTTTTTTTTTTAAATATGCTAAATATCAGTTTTTAATTATATTTTTGCAAAGTCATCATGAATTTATTAGTTACTTAGAAAAAAAATTTTTGGTAAAATTTGGAGTAATTTTAAGACTTCAACAAATTTATTTATAGTACTATCATTAAATCCAAATTCTTCACGCCTGGGGGCATGTATTTTATATTAAAAAACATGACAGGAATTGATTCCTTATTTTCCTCTTCTATTCAAAGATAAAATAACAAATGTTCAATGTCAGTCAAAATAAACAACTACAAATCAAATCCTACTCTTCTGACTGACAAATGTTTTTGTTTATTATGTGAAATTAAAATACAATTTATAAAGAATAACAAATTTCCTATGTCTATAAGCAAGTTGCATGAGTATACACATAACATACAAATGAAAGACAACAAACTGACTGGTTACATTAACTTGTGTATTTTGTTTCAAATTTTCAAACAATATAAAGTATTATGTAAAATGTCTCTTCCTAAGAATATGTACCAAGTTTGCAACTCTTCAGGTATTGAGTTAATGAGCATACAAAAATATACACTTTTACCTGAACAAAATACACTTCAAACATAAGTCAATACTATCAGCACTTAGCTAGTAAAAATACTCAACTTGATGAAGGCCTTCCTAGTTAGAAACCAACAAATAGTATAAAACACAATTTATGAATCAACAAAAATACAAACATTACTTTGTAAATCTCATTACTTATGATTGTATATATAAGATATTTTTTACATTGATAATATTCCTGCAAAATTATTCTGAGCTTTAAGAGATCCTCAGAGATATGACCATATATTAGATACATACCCACATATTAATCAATGATCTTTTTTTTAACTTTCAATGAAAATCTATGCCTTTTCTCAGAAGAAATGGGTTCAAACAATTTAACAAATAGAACACTTCAGGTATCTGAGTCATAAGTGATGTATCTAAGCAGTATATATATATATATTAAGACATTTTTATGTTTATACATTCTTTTTATAGATACAAATATTTAAGTAAATGCTCTGTTTATAATAAACAGTATTAAACAACATTTACTGTCCTGAATGTCCAAGAAATTTTCAACTTAACAAAATGCAGAAAATATCTGAATTCTTAAAAGACAAAGACTGGACACCTCTGTTCTATCAGAAGCATGTGTACAAAGCAGATATATTCAAATATTTTTCAAGATTAATTCTGTTAGCAAACCATAATATACATTTTATTCCTTAAGCATGCCATCCAGAGCAAGCGAATGAACTTACTTCTTATTGTGCTTTATATATATATATATATATATATATATATATATATATATATCTTCTCTTTCACATGCATACATAAAAGAAAATCATGTTTTCATTGAGAATATACTACAATCTAATTCTGATCAGGAGACAACAGGTTCTCCTAAATATAGATAAAATGAAAGCCTGAGATGAAAAAATATAAAACACTTACTCCTTGCCATTTGTTGATCAAGATGACTTGGTACTGGTGACAAAAAAGAGATTTTGATTTCAAAGTTCACACACAATTTTTTATGCCACTTAAACATTTTACACAGCAGTGAAAGAGCATGATAAATAAGTCAGATAGAAAAACAGGAGTTGAAAAGAACAGAATGAAAGAAAAGAAAATATCATAACTATGTTAATTTTTACAATTAAGAATAAAAACCATAAAAGCAATTATTTTTAATTTTTCAACTCAGCAGGAAAGATTCAACAGCCTAGAAGCCACTTCATCAGCAGTTTTACTTTAACTTATCAAGATATAAATAAAATAATCTATTCAGTTATGCAAGACACCTCAGACTGAATGATGACATAAAAATACATTCAACTTTAATATCTGCATTTTATTGAGTTTAGTTAACCTTTTCATATTTTAACTAATATTCTCCAATTATCATCAAGTAACAAAATGTTTAACTGATTCTGTGAATGGCTCAAATTTATAGTGAAGCACTTGAGCAATTTTAGCTGTGACTAATGACCAGAGAATATATCCATCAAAATATGAAAGAAAAAAAAAATAGGATTAAATAGAAAAATTTACAAATATCAATAAATCTTAATCTAACTAATAACAAACAATATAAGCTAGCATTTATTTTCTTATCAGTATTTACTTAATGCTAAATGCAAATTCTAAAGTCCTGAATCAGAATAAGAAGAAAAAAAAGAGAACAAATGAATTATAATTAATGTGATAGGTTAAGTGTAAATTATCAAATACTTTAATTTAAATTTGATATGCTGATTGAATAAGGAAAATTGTCCTTGAAAGTAAATTACTTGAATTTATCTGATTTATATGAAGCATATCAAATCATCTGAAATTACCCCATAATTATACCAAAGTATATTTCTTAGTATATCTACCATTATAGCTAAAAATCATTTTTTCATTTTTAATTATCTTTTTTAATGTAGTTAAATTCAAATAAACTTTGTGAACGGGCACTTGAATTAAGAATGGAATTAAGCCAAAACAATAACTTAAGTTTTAGTTTACAAATTAATTCTTTTTGAATCTTAATAAGTCCCATTTGAATACTTTAAGAGAAAGAGTACTTAAAGGAATTTATCAACTTTTGCACAAATATAGTTATATCAAAAATTATTTATACTGTATCATTTTATCAAGCAATGTAAAATTCATTGTAATAAAAGAAAGAATACAAAAGAATTTAATTCCAGCAAAACAACATAAATTATATATATATATATATATATATATATATATATATATATATATATGTTTGTTTTTATTTTGTTTAAATGTTATTTTTGATAGATACCCATATTAGAGTTTTTTGGGTTTTTTTTTTATTAAACAGTATTTTTTATTCAACTGCATCTATTGGCCTGAATATTTGAGAAATCTTGTCAGAAAAATATGTGTCCTCTGGGATACTTTTCTGACAAGATTTCTCAAATATTTAGGCCGGAAGATGTAGTTGGATAAAAAACTGAGCTTCTACTTGAATATGAGTATCCATCAAAAATAACGTTTAAACAAAGTAAATTAAAAATAACAATATATTGGATTTAATCCATTGCATATATGCATACACACACACACACACACACACACATACATACACACACTATTAATAATAAATATACATTTTATTCCTTACCATTTGGTAAAAATCCGAGTTTCATACATGAACCAATCTTGACTTTTCAATTCATACCTGAAGATTGCTGCATATGTGAAACTCAGTTGTACTAGACGATGAGGAATATATGTATATTTATTATTAATAGTATAAATTTTAGCTCTTATTTTACACTGGCTACTTTTATTACAACCAGCACTCATTGTGCAATATTATATATATAATTTAAATACATATTGACTTATGCAAAGGTTATACTGCATACTAAATGTATTTATAAATGAGACTGAAAAAATTGTAATAAAATTTAGGAGCAGAAATTTTAAATGGCATTTAATTATTTTGACATCAATATTGTTAGATTTAATTTTAAGTTTTGCTAAAGAACAAAAAGAATTTGTTCATCTGGAGAACTGAAATTCTTTCACAAAGAAAGAATGCAAGCAATCTCAACACGTGCTAAATAAACCTAAAGTAGTTAGAAATACTGATTTCTGTGGCACTTTGGGTATTATGGACATTTAAATTCTGGGTATTATGGACATTTAAATGCTTATCTTCAAAGCATTCTGTGAGTTTAATAGTAATTATTTATTCTTCAAATTCATATTATGACCCAACTTTCGTAATTGTTAAATAAAGTCCAAATAGCAATCTCTATTTCAGCAGTAAGACTCTTGGCAAAGTACAGCTTACTGGAATCACAGTTTTTACTATAACATTAAAGTAAATCAGTTGAGAAAATCTATATATATATAAAATGAGGGAAAATTGATGAGGGTGACTACTTAGTTTTTTCAAGCATGATGTAAAGAGAAAATCTGAGAAAAAGCCTGTTGTGAGTTTCCTAATTAGAGCAAGATGAAAGCACACAAATGTTCAATATTTTACATTAATATTTTTACATTAACATTTTTAACTGACAGCAGGCACATTAAAAATGGCTTGATGATGTTGCATTCTTATTTATTATTCCTCTAAAGAACAAGGTATTTTTTTTTGTTTTTGCATTTAAATTTGATGCACATGACATACTATTATAAGCTGCTTTGAAATTAGAAATAAGTTTTGGGGGTAGCACAAATTTAAACAATGTAAAATTATCTTGAAGCAGAAAATAGGCTCTAAATGTAAATGAAAAATGTTGAATTTTAAGAAACATTTTAACAAGTTCTATAAAACTGTTAAGGACCTTACCTGAGGTGAAAGGTTCACTTGATCTTCCAGACCAAGATCCCTGACGGCTGCCAGGGAAGGAGTTGGAGCTCCAGTTGGATGTTGATGCTGAAGTAGTTTTGTTGTGAGCAAGGCCAGGAGGTGGGCGAGCAGAACTGCCACTGGATTTGGGTTGCAAAGGCACACCCCAGACCTCAGAAGTGAAACTGGTGGGGGTGGTTACAGATTCAGACGGGGTCCAGCTCTTTTGGCTTCCTCCGCCAACAATAGGCTGAGAATTGCTTGTCTTGGGGAAGTCTTTCATTGGCCAGGTTCCTCCAGAAGATTCTGATGTGACAATTGGACTGGATTTGGTAATAGTTGCAGAAAAGTTGGTCAAGTAATCATCTTTGATGGTGTTGACACTAAGTGAGCGAGAAAAGCTACCAGGTGTGATATATGGATCATCCTCCACACTTTTGGCACCTGTAATCCCTTGCCAAGGCTTGCCAGGCACAAACTCTGGAATCATGTCATTTAGATTGAATGCAGAGGATGAAGAAGAGCTAGCAGTTTGAGAATCCTTCACCTCAGAATTGTCCTTGGACTGTTCGGCCTGACTATTTGTTCCAATGGGAGCTACATTTGGCCAATTTTGGGATGATGTAGTGGGAACATTTGACCAAGTGGCATCACTGAGACCTAGACTTAGATCGTACCTTCCCAGATTTGAAGTGGACATGGGATGATGAACAGGTTTCGAACCCACTGCCTTGTTCATCATGTTATCAGGAATATTGGCATCTTTTTCAGGAGACGGACGTTTCCATTGATTGAGAAGACGGGATTGTGAGCAAGTAGAGATGGCTAGATTGGTCATGTCATTTTGAAGTGGAGAGAAAGCCTCGATCGGTTCAAGCACAGTTGCCGGCTTAGGAAGGTTCTGTTGTGCCTGAGCAATCTGCTGCTGAAGCTGAAGCATTTGGTGTTTGAATCTGCTGATTGTAAGGAGAGTTTGGTCCATTTGCTGCCGGTTGCTGCCACCACAACCGCCACCCTTGTTCTGCTGCTGTAGGATCTGCTGTCTGGTCACCAGCTGTTGTAGGCCTGACTGCATCTGTAGAAGTTGCTGCAAAAGCACAAGCATTGGAGGAGGCAGCTGCTGATTCAGCAACTGTGGGCTTATTAACCCAGCCTGGACGGCCATTCGCAGCTGTTGCAAAATCTGATGTTGTGCCATTTGTTGCTGCACAGTGTTGTTGGTTGGGAGTTGGTTGGCGCCACTGGCACTTGTTCCACCACCACTACCGGTACCAGTACTTCCACCAGCTCCAGCAGCACTGGTGTTGGTGCCACTTCCTCCTCGGCCCCCAACTGGCCCCTGTGAGGAGTTCAATGCTGGCTGCGGATGAGACTGTACCTGGGGCTGCTGTTGTTGCTGTTGCTGGTGGTGGTGGTTTATTTGCATCGAGGCTTGCTGGGACTGCTGCTGCTGTTGTTGCTGTTGCATTTGTTGCTGCTGCTGTTGTGATTGTTGCTGCTGTTGGTTCAGCTTGTGCATCAGTTTTTGTTGAAGGCTTGTACTTTGACTACTAGAGTTCATTGCCATGCCTGGCTGTGGCAGACTAGAGCTAGGCTTGAGAGAAAGAGGCAGGGATTGATTGGATAACTGGGATTGAGCATTTGGAAATGAAGTATTCTGCATGGAGATATTAGGCACAAAATGACCACTTTCAGACTGACTATCAGATATCTCATCACTTAAGCCACTCGAGTCAACAATTCCAGATAATTTGCGCTTTGTATCACCCTGGAATACATCTTCATTGTTGTCTTTCTTCATGGCTGTAGCGCCTTGTCGCAAGTCAGCTAAAAATATAAAAATAATTATTCTCAGAGTAATATATATAAATAAAGTAATAAGCCACTTTTTATATAGATGTGATTTATATTTATTTAGTATTAAAGAACTGAATTAGTCAATCAGATACTATGATTCATTTTTCATGATACAATAAATGCCAGTGTTATCTATTTGGAAAAGCACATTTCATAACATTAAATATACTATCTTATATAGTAAGAATTTTATGCTAATGCAAGAGTTTTGTTATTCAATATAAAGAGTCACATGTCAAATTAATAATTTCATGAAAACTGGATATAAAGATAAATACCAAATATGATCATCAAATAGATTACCTTGTCAGAAGCTAGACATGATGGGGATAAAACTAGAAGATAATAATAAACACTCACCAAGGGCGCTATCATAGTTCATATTATTGCTGATCAAAGCTGTTTGGGCATCATCTCTCTGAAAAAGGAAATTTCATTTTTTATATCAGATTTTTCTCAATATACATTAAGAAGTAGAAATAACAATGTCAATAATACATTTTAGGTCAAAGTTTTTCCCAATAAGTAAAAACATTTCAAGTCATCAATCAAATTAAAATGACATAAAAACTGATTTTAAATAAAAACTTTCAAAGCATTTTGTAGTACATAAAAGAAGATTGTTGGCTGATTGTATTTTTTTTACAGCTTATCAACCTTTTGTATATAAAACAAATAAAATTTTTAAAAATACCATAACTGAGAACATAATTATCTTGTCCTGGTTTGCCTAAGTAACTAAATTAAACATTTGTTATTAAAAAAAACCTCCAAAACATTAAGAGTTTATGTCTGCCAATCTAGCAAATTAAGACCATATGAAGAGATCAACATTAAAATATTAATTCTCCCATATCATTTAGACAATTTTCAACAGTATCACAATTACATATTTTTAATCTACAAGTAAAACCTACCTTAAATCCCATGTCAGTAAGTTGTTGTAATAGTTTTACTCTCATTTGAGGAGCTTGATTAGCACCACCAGGAAACTTGTTAGCACCCTACAAATTAATAGTAAATATTAATAAATCCAGTATTCAATAACTGTAGAGTAAAAATAAATATATACACACTTAGTACTCACAATGATTATCAGTAAAGATCCATTTTCAAATGTTTTAATTTCAATCAAGATAGTGACAATCTTAAAATTTTATAATTCAAACATTTTCTTAAACACAAGTTTTCTTTGAATCAATTGGAAAAATTATAAAATTAAACTGAACTGTACATTTTTACAAATTTGTTAAGCAATTCATACGGGTTTTAATCAGAAGAATGCATCGAATAAAATTTTAAGTAAAAGGGTAAATATTAACTGCCATATTTGGATCAATTTTTGTCCTCATTGAAAAGGTTTGGTTTCAAAGATATTAAGGTAATGGTTACATGATTTACTTTATTTGTGAGGCATTACAAGAGATCTAACACCTGATATTAAAAAAAAAAAAAAAAAAAAAAAAAGGTACTAACCTTATAATTTCCTCTTTTCCCCTTCCATCCTGAGGCACTGCTCCAAGAGCTGTTATCCTGAGATCCTTCATTCCAAGTGCCCATGTCAGCATCATGCCAGAGTGAATCAACTCCAGCATTTCCTCCACTGCTATCATCACTCCAACCTTGCTGCAGAGAGCCAGTCTAAGAATAAGATAGATGATAACTGTCTAGCACTGATACTAATTTTAATTACATCCAAAATAAATGATAAAATGTTAGTGTTTAAATCAACAACAGTGTGGCATATACAACCACATTATTCAAGTAAGAATATGAAAAGATCAATTGTTTTTAATACCTTAACTATGAAGATAAAATTTGATTCTAAACAGATTTTTGTCTATTTTATTACACACAAAATATTTTTTTAATTTTCATTTTTAATAACATTTTTGAATGCTATTTCTTAACTGTCAGTTTACCATGTAAGTTATAATTATGGAAGATAATTATACAAAATCTTTATCACTTAAATTTATTTTTTATTAAAATTTTCTTGGAGCTTTTCATTCTTGGTCTTGATAAAAACCTATTGATATAACAAGTTTTAATCAAAAACTTAGTAACTTGAAACCAACTATCTAAAACCCAAAATTGTGCTTAGAATCCATATTCTAATATTTTTAATTCTACCATACAAAATTGTGATAGAAACTGACTTCATAGCATATGATAAATAAAAAAAAATTATTCTATAATTATTACAATGCTTACAAAAAAAAAAAAAGAAAAAAGTGAGGCAGTTCATTATAATAGTCAACATTTCTAAAATTAAAAATTCCTAAAAAACCATGCAGGAGATATTTTTACAAAATCATTGAATAGCTGAATTATAACTCTTTAAAAGTAACAAAAAATTTTTTTTTGTAAGAACATTTCAAATGTGGGGATAAATATAAAACTGCTCAGAGTGGAATTAAATTATTCTTTTCAAAGCCTCACATTTTAAGACAATTTTGGTATTTAAAAAAAAAAAAAAAAAAAAAACTTTTTTTTTTTCTGTGATCATCATTTTAAAAATGGTAATGATCAGAAAAAGGTGTCGGATATTTTCACTTGTCAACAAAATATTAGGATTCATTCACAATCGATTTAACTTTTGATTCATATACTGATATTATTTAACTAAAGTAAAACCAAAATATAGTAAATAACTGTTTAATGCTTGCTAATACAGTATTTAAATGTAGACACAAATTTCAATGAGGAAAATCTTACGTTTATTTTAGGATTGTTTTTATCTGCATGAATAATAGAAATCCCTTAAGTATAAAAATTACTATTAGAATTTGAAATCTAATAAGCATATCCCTCTTCACCAAATATAATATATACATACTTTGCATTTTGTTATTTTAAAATATATTTGATTATCTAATTTAACATTTGATCACAAATGTTTTTAGTTCAAGTAGACTGAAGTGTTAATTCAAGCCAACACATTTTTCATTGATAGAACCATTTTAAATTCTTTTAATTTTCAAATATAAAATATAGCTATTATTTTTATGTCAGTAAATGTTTTTAATACCAACACAAAGCAAAAATACTTTTCCTAATTCCAAAATAACTTCAAAATTTTACTAGATGCTGAAAATTTGTAGTTAGCTATAGCATTATACATTCTAGATAAATGAAAAAAAAAAAAAAAAAAAAAAAAAAAAAACAAATAAAAAAAAAAATGCAAAATTTTATATAAAATTTTAAAATTCCTAAGCCTAACCAATATTATAATAAAATTTTATTTCAGTTTATATCAGTTCATACAATACAGTAGAAAAAAAGTTATATTTTATAGCAGGTAAAACAATAAAAGCATAATAAAATTAAATGGATACTTCAAGTAATTTAAAAAAACAAAAATTATTTATTAACCAACATTTATTTATATACAACATACACACAAGGGTGCACTGAAAAGTTCTCAGTTCAAGTAAAAAGAGATTGTAAAATAAGATTCTGAATTCTGATGTTTGGTCATTTGGTCAATTTTTGGAAAGTGAATCAAGTAGAGAACTTCTCAGGACACTCTCATACTAAAAATTAAATTAGTTAGGATAATGAGGTATTAATTAAAAGGAATTAAGTAAATACAACTAGTAAATAAATTGAAAGTATGAAATCTGACAAAGTTTAATATTTGCTGACAACAAATTTCAGCAGATAAACAATGTCAACAAAAAAATTATTTCAACAAAATTATCAATTTATTAGATTGCACAATGTTAAGTTTAGATGGGGAGGGGGGAGCATTTTGCCAAACACATGAAATTTACTTTTATATAGAATCAGAGTGAGTCAATCATATTTAGTCAGATTTCAAACTTGTAAAGAACAAAAGATAAAATGAAATAATTAGCATGGATAGAAAGAGATACAAGTTAACAAAAAGACATATATGCATCATAAAATGAACAACATGCACAACAGAAATCTAGAAAGATCAAAACCTCAAATACTCATTCACAATAAAACCAATAATCAGCCATTTTGAATGTGATCACACAGGGATTCATTTTAGATGAAAGGTGGAGAGTTCCCCAAACAAGGTCACCACATCAATTTCAAAGGCTCTTATCTGAAAGATTGGCTATTGGGAGAGTATGACTCCAAAATTACTTTCCATGTTGAAATTTATATATATATATATATATATATATATATATATATATATAAAAGCAGAAAATTGCTTTGTTTCTGAAAATGGTCATCTAACTCACCTTTCTCTGAGGATTCCAAGTACTTATGTCATTATCATTCCAGTTAGTTGATGGTTTATGTTTGGGAGCCAAAGCTGCTCCCCCCCACTGTGTGCCACTGGTATCCCAACCATTAGATTTTGCCTAAAAAGTTGACAAAAAATAGGCTGCAATTATCATTATCAAGTTTAAAATATTCTCACCACTACTTTTAAGTAATTAATAGCTTTAGTATCAATAAATCTGTATTCTAGGCAAGTATAATATTTTGTGGAGGAAAACTAAGAAACTATATAAATGGTTGGGTATTTTATTTTTCATTGGAATCAAGTAAAAAAAAAAAAAAAAAAAAAAAAAACATTAAGAAAAAAAAATAACTACTCCAAAATGAATGAATATATATATATATATATATATATATATATATATATATATATATATATATATTAGTTGATGTTGATATCATGTTGATCAGAAGATTGCTGGATAGAGCAAGTGGCTAATAGACAGCAATCCAATTCAAAATGACTGAAGTATATCAAACCCAAACTTTGGTCATTCACACACTTTCAGCTTTCCTTTTTTCTTTCCTTTTTATTTCACTCTAAAGACAAACTTGTTATTTTCATAAAATTCACATTGGTATATTGTCAAAAGCCTGCAAATGAAATCTAAGGATATGTTTTAGTTATACATTCAACAAAGATTTTTTTTTTTTAAAATTATAACAATTTCTGCAGTTGATTTTTTTTTCAAGTTTAAATAGACTATTTGCAATAGGTAGTTATTCAAAATTTTGGACAATGCACATAAAATTCTTGACAAATTCTTTAAAAATCATTTCATAGTTAATCTCTTAAGGTAACATTCCTAAAATTAAGATATTTTTAAACATACATTAGCTTCTTTAAATGAAGATTTCAATTTTTATTATCTTTTCAAAACCAATTTGGAATTTAAATAGTTAACAGAATATTAAGTGAATTTTTCTCTCTCCTATAAAAATCTATAAAGCAGTATAATTAATGTTCATAACCTAAAATAAAAACAATGAAAAGTGGATTAACATCAAACAGCAACAATAAAAATTTACTGAATATTAAAAATATATTACTTTAAATATAGACATTTAAAAAGGACAGATGATCATAAGAACATCATAAATTCAACTCACAATTTACAATGTATGCATAGAATTAATTTTATTTCTATATTGATAATTTTATGAGTGAATAAATATTCCTCACAAATTCTGGTCCGTCATGAATAACATGATATACAGCATTAATGATATAGTTTGTAACTCAACATTTTATGTTCATTTTCTACATTCATAAATGTGAAAGAATCAAATTTGAAGTTTTCAGAATAAATTTGTTTTTAAAATTCAAACATGGAAAAAAATAAATAAACACAAACTGCAGATAAGCTCTTACTTTATTTGTATGATTTAATAAAAATTTATTATAAATTAAAGTAAAAGAGAATAGTATAAAAAAAGAACAGAATTTTATAACCATAAAATATATTCTAAAGTTCTAGTGTTACAAAAAACTGAATATTTGTTTCTCAATGTTATCAACAAGGAAGAAAGAAAAAAAACATAGGAAGCTTTGTGTACAATTAAAGGCAATGCAATTAGAGAAAGTAAAAAGGATGAAAGAGTTCAGGAAAATCCTCAAAGTATCATATTCATTCAGCCTCAAAACAGATTTCAGATTTCAATTTCAGTAAGCCAACAATAATTACAAAACATTAATTCAAAATTTTTAAACGTAAGCCAATAATGCCATTTTCAGACTAGCACTCTCAGTTCTTCTTAATGCTTCAAACATACTAATTCTTATCAGATACATTTTAATTTACAAACATAATTACTTGAATGCAATTGAAGATTTTTGTGACTGAAACAGTAAGATTAAGAATGCCAGCCTGAATGATATGAGTAAATCAAAACCAATGTAGGTACAATCGTAATGAGAATCCTTTGCTTTTTTTTTTTTTTTTGTGTGATAAAAACTCATCACCACTTACAAACCTGTCCTCAAGACAAAGTAATGAATTCTTACCTGCATATCAACAGTGGATGATAAGTAAAAATATAGAAAAATCAAAAAGGAGAATTTTTGTAAGGTGGGTAATAAAGTCTTTTAGGCATGCACATTTCATTTTTCATATTTGTAAATTAAATGTTAAGGGAGAAAGCAAAGAAAAACTCAGTTGCAAACAGATAGTCTAAACAAAATAAAGAAAACCTTACCTGCTGTTGAACGCTTGGTGCCCAAATACTGGTGCCATCATCGACTGGAGGTTTCGTTGAGACGGGTTCTCCCCAACCTGAATTTTGTTGCTTGGAGCTGGTTCCTTTGTTCCACTGTGTATCATCTTTTTGTCTCTGTTGCTGTTGCTGTTGCTGTTGTTGTTGCTGTTGTTGCTTTTGTGAACTGTTAATATTTGGAGGAATACTATTCCAATTTTGAGGTTGTGGTTGCTGCGCTGGGTCGCCCCAATATGAGGTGCCATTGTCAACTTGTCGTCGCTGAGATGGAGGGGACGGTTCCTCCCAGCCACTACCAGTATGCCCGAAAGCTTTCGGTCCTTTGTTGTTACTGTTGTTGCTATTGTTGCTGCTGGGATTGTTAGTGCTGGAATGGCTAGCATTCCAGGAACCTGTCTCAGTTTTGTTCCAGTTCTTAGCTTGTCCATTTCCGCCACCAATGTTGCTCCCTCCTCCTGTGCTGCTGCCACTGCTACTACTACTGCTGCCTCCTCCTCCTCCTCCTCCTCCATTACCTGTGCCACCACCCCCTGCTCCTCCACTGCTGCTCCACATACCGACATTCTTATCACTGTTGTTGCTGCCAATGTTGGGTTGTGGTTCGGCAGGCTGGCTGCTGCCATTGTTTCGAACAGAGATGCTACCACCCATGCCATTGTTGCTGCTGTTGCTACTACTTATGTTGCTGTTACCCTGAGTGGTAGTGCTGGTATTGTTTCCACCATTTGTTGCATTACCACTGTTGCTGCCAGCAGGGTTGCTCCCAATTATGCTGCTGCCACCTCCTGCACTGCCACACCGCACTGGATTATTTGTACTAGCATTGTTGCCACTGGTGCCACTGCCACTCCCATTAGTACTGGTACCAACAGCACCTGAGGATGGTTTGTTAGATTTATCACCCCAAGTACCAGAATTGTCAGTTTCATGGTGGTAGCCAGATGCCCCAGGCCTGCCAGCAGTACCGTACCATATTGCAGTTCCATCTTTGGTTCCTTCCCAAATAGCAGTGCCATTGCTGCTGCCATTATTCCAAACGTTTGATTCCTCTTCAAATTTCCGTTTTGATTTGGGAGAGAATTGCACAACCCAGGTACTATCTTGCCTGATTGGGCGTGATCCCCAGCCTTCGTTGCTTTCAATTAGCCGTTTTATCTCATCCCGCTGAGCAGTGATCGAAGAACGAGATCCATTGTTCCCAGCAGCAGAATTTCCATTATTGGAATTAGAAGTTGAGGAATTGTTGAGTCCCTTTCCAGCAGCCTGTGCCCATGTGCTGGGCTGGGATTTGGGTGGATTTGAAGATGATGAACTCCCTCCTCCACCCCCTTGGTGGTGGTTGCTGTTCTTGTTGTTGCCATTATTGTTGCTGTTGCTATTGTTGTTGCTAGATGTGTTATTGTTGGTAGAGGTGTTGTTGTTCCACTGTCCTTGTAAGTTTGTGTTGCTTGCTGCTTGGTTGTTACCCACCCTTTGTCCAGCAGCATTGCTCCACTCAGTGCTGACACTTGTGGCCGGCGATACAGCTCGGTCCCAGGTGCTTGCATTCTTTTTAGCATTCCCGTTATTGGCACCAGACAATACGCTCCAATTTGATGAAACGTCACCAGAATTCTGCTGGCACGTATTGTCAATTTGTTTATCATCTCCCTGATTGTTGATCACTAGTGATCGGTTATTCGGATTAGCATTTCCAATTCCTGGAACATTGACACTACTCCAACTGGATTCATTGCAACTATTGCCACGGAGTGAAGATGTACCCGGTGGTGGTGGTGGCATACCCTGGTTAACCCCCTGCCACAATAATGGATTGCCAGTATGTCCCCCCCTTGACTGGCAGCCACCCTGAGGTTCACTTGTATTGAGTGAAGCACCATTGCTTGGTACAGATCTGTTGTGACTGTTCATGTCCCCTGTGCCAGCACTATGTTGCTGCTGCTGCTGCATCAACTGCATGGCTGCACTTGGGGGACGACCAATTCCCCCACCACCCTGAGAAGCAGGTCCTCCCCAGGCCATACTGGAGATGTTACTTGAAGTAAATGAATTCATGGAATTACCATCACTTCCAGCAGAACTGGCACGAATTTGCATATTATGGCCTTGGTTATTCATCGAAAGACTAGGGGGGAGAGTGCTCCACCCTGTACTATTGAGATTGGCAGAACTATTCCAGGGATGTCTTTCAAGTCCATTGAAATTGGAATTAGAGCTCCACGCGGAAGTACTTTGACCTTGCATGGCACTTGACCCCTGACTGGTCTCAAGACCTTGGTTTTGGTAGCTTGAGCTAGATATCACAGATCCTGAATTAATGGAACCATAGTTACCTCCAAAAGGAGAGGCTCTGTTCCAGTATTTATTTCTGATTGAAGGCCAGACCTCCTTATTCTTTTTTTCAACAGGTAAGTCGTTGCTTGTTTGCCACCCTAATCCTGGATTGTTGTGCCAGGGACTTGGTTTTTGGATTTTTTCATTTGAAGTGACAGAATCTATAATAAAAAGAAAATTATACATATTTTTAATCATTTATATTGCTGAGAAATTTATTATTTAACAGAGTTAAAAAGAATATAACATGACAGGAAATATACATGAAGATAACATGAAAAATATGCATCTGTAACACACACACACACACTTTATGCAAACATATCAAACCAGGCTCCACACTGTTGCATTTAACCTTTAGAGAGGATAATTATGATTTAACCTATTGGTAAATACTTTTAAACTGCACTAATATAATTGATAAGGTTTTAATTATGTCAATTTAGATACATGTAAAATGTATTTCATAAAATTCCTTGTATTTTTTGTAATATATTTAAAATCTACATATTTCAAACTTTTTAATCAGATATACACCTATGAAATACAGAAATCAGTTTCAATATAAGTGAATGGTGAATAACATTAATGAACATAATGGAAAAAATTTTCTCTAAATAACTAATAATAAAAATGGGGTTAACAAAGACAAATCTTGTCTATTATTTCATATTATTAAAAACTACATAAGCAGCTTTGATAAAACATTTTAAGAACAAATAGCTGAACTGATTTGATTAAAAATACTTCACCCTGCAACCTAAAAATACAAACCACATATATAACTAATTTGTAAAAATTGCTAGAATATAAGTTATTAAAGCAAAATGAAGACAAAGGTTTTTGTCTCAATCAGAAATTTATCACATTGTTCAAATGTTAAATATCTCCAGAAATAGTTTTAGATATAAATTAACTAAGTAAATTTCTTTAAATTCACAAACTTCATCTCAATACTATTTTTTAAAATAAGCTATATACATAAGGTATTGCCAAAAGGTTTTCAAAAAATTGTTTTGTCATTTGGTCAGATTTTGCACAATGGGTTGGGTAAGGAACTTTTCAACACTCCCTCACACAGATTAACACAAACATAAAGTACACAATCATGTAAGCTTATTTTGTGAAGAAAATTAGTTTCCATTTATAAAATATATAGCTATTTATATATTACAAACTTGATTATCGTTTCTATCAGAATTACTAATGACAGTTTATCATTTTATTCTTAATTGTAACTAAGTGGCAAATATGTATCATTGTTCTAAATTTATTTCTTTGTATACTACTAAATACAAGACAACTTCACAAAATCAATCACAGATGCAATTTAAATGCACTCAAAAAAAAGATTTTTACAATCAGGTTGGTGTGCAGCATTACCAAACTGTATCTGACAACCACTTAGAACCAATCATAGGGGGATGATTCTGAGTGGACACATTTGGAATTACTCAAAAAAAACAGGCATTTTAATATGGTTAAATCTTTAACACTGTACAGATTAATTGAGTTATAGTGCATTTATTAAAATACAATTCCCAAGAGAAATAAACCGATTGAACAAACAAGAGTAGTATTTAGAAGTTGGTATTTGAAAAAGTTGTTTTATATAGAATAGCCAATAAAAGATTATGCATACTAACTGAAATTATATTTATTCTTGCAACCATTTCAAGTTTATAAAGATAAAAAAAACACTCAAGAAATTAGTAGAGCATAGTAAAAGAGAAGACAGCAAAATTTCTAACTTTTTAAAAATGTGGCTGTTTTTATTGAAATCCAATTTTTTTAACTACTGAATGTACTTGAGCAATATTTCAGGGAAATGTTTGTTTAAACTCCATGTAATTTTTTTTTTTTAATTTAAAAAATTGCATTTAAAACAAATTTAGCTTCCATACTCATCAAAACCTATCTACTCTAAATACTATCATTCTAAGGTACATAATTCAATAGTGAATTGGCATAAAACTCATAAGGCTTGTCAGTGTTTTTTTTTTGCTCTACTTGGATTAAACAGAATATTACGCAATTTAATTCATTTTTTATATTATTACTATACTATATTTTTTTTATATTCTTCACAATAAACATGAGTACAGGTTCTTACGAAAAAATAAGGGCTGAAAGTAATAGTTTAAATATTTAGTATATTTGTTCTATATCACTTCTAGCATTTCAATACAACTATAAATGACACAAAATTGTTATTTCCAAACTTACTACATAGTTTCAACTAATTTTTTAGCTAATGTATTTTTGTATATGTATCAAACTACCATTCAACAAGACTAAAATTGTTGGTAATAATTTTAATCAAAGCTTATTGAAAAAAAAAAAAAAAAAAAAAAATATCACTAAAATCTATATCAAAAACTTTAATGTCTTAAGCTGGAAAAGAAAATTTAGTAACTGATGGTTTATAACATTTATAACATTCTTAGAGAATTTAAATTTCTTTTCAATAGATAAATGCAGGAGTTATACATAGCATTTCTAATGTTTTTATTATTTATGTCTACTTTATCAGATAGATTGATACAGTCATAAAACATCAAATGATTACAAGTTGATCAAAATCAATCCATGTCAAGTTAAATAGAGAAAGGAAAAACACACACACACACACACACACAAAAAAAAAAAAAAAAAAAACTATAAAACAGAGGACAATATGAAAATAGGTAAAACCAAACTGATCCCTTCAAAAGGAATAGAAATGGAGTAAGCGGTTGGGGCTCAGATAAGGCAGAGATTTAACTATCACTTTTTTTTTTTTTTTTTATATAATATTCCAACAGATTTGGCAAAAAGGACCCTTGTAAAAACAAGTGTATTCCCTGGAAAGATCAGTTTAGCTGCAAAGACTGAATGAATATATGGATATCAAAATATCTGAAAGAAACATGTTTGCAAATGAGCCGAGAGAAAAAAAACAATGAAAAGTTTCCATGACTGATCAGGTGGAATGGATATATCAGCCCTTATCTCCAATACTTTAAGAGAGGCCTAACAATCTTCAATAGAATATACCTGCTGACACTCCAGGGATGAGTCCTTGAAAGCCTTCAAAATTCATTTGGCACTCTGCCAGACTTTTTCCTATGCCATGTGGGTTGTGTGGAGACCCGCACAGCATGACACTTATTTTCAAGAAGGGAAGCTGTGTGCAAGGGTTTGGGAGACAAGCCAACTTTTTCCTGCAGTGCGATAAATATAAATTTTGGTTTATAAATAGTAACTCTGATTTATTGCAAATTTTAAATGTAACTATCATGGCAGTGAAATCTATCGAAATAAGCTTGAATACAAAAAGTAGGGAAAAAAAAACACCCTACCATTAAAAGAAATCAGAATACAAGACATTTAATACCTTAATCTAACAGAATAGCTGACAATATCTAACAAAAAAAAAAATTAATTAGGGAAATTTATTTAATATATATATATATATATATATATTATATATATATATATATATATATATATATATATATATATAATACTAAAATCTATGCTTCATATGTTCAAATGCTAATAAAATAAAAATAATGCCAACTTGATTAATGCACACAACAATACGGAGCCATAAATATATCAAAGATCAAATCAACCATTAAGCTGCTCATATAAGCAGGCATTAAAGCAGTGATCCAAAAATCAAATTTGTAAAATCAATACAAGAACAACTTTGTCAAAACAGTTTCATTACATCAGATAGACCTTAATGTTTTCAGGAGAAAAACTCAAAAACAAGGAGGGGGAAATTATATGAATAAACATTTTCAAATATTTTTATAGAATATTAAAACAATTCTCATTTTCAACAAATAAAAAACAAAATTTTAAGAAATAAGATCAAAAATATATTCTCATGAGAGGAAACCTAAGAGCACAAATCAAAGTGTTAAAATGACTGTAAATTAAGAAAACAAAAATTTAAAGCAAATGCAATTAGAAAAGCAAAGCTTTTAGCCTTCATAACATCTCTAAGAGAAAGTGTTTCATGGCTCAAAGTATAAATAATTTAAAGCAACAATAAACAGATTACAGATAAATTATACTAAAATTAGAGAAAACATTTAAAGCTAACAGATAAGATAAATATTCAAAACAGTTTAAGCCATAGAACATGTGAAATGTTTCAAAAATATTAAGTGGTAACTTTATTCAATTTCTTCCTTATATATCAGAGACAAAAATATTATATTTCTGAATATTAATTTACTGATGAAATAGAACACAAAAGTATTCTAATGTCAGTTTCTTTTATTTCATCAGGAAAACCACTTTATATTTTCCAATATAATTTTTTTTAATTCATAATCTTCAAAGAATTAACAGTTTAGTTTTGATGGCTTCAAGAGTTGAAGCCACTGAATATAAGGGAAAAACAGATTAAGTGAAAATGATAAAGAATCATTCCTTTGTTATTTCATACAGAATTTTGAAAAATAAAACATATACTTTAGAAATTATAAATATGCATTTTCACTAATTCATTTCCTACAAATTTTATATTAAAAATACTAAAGAGCAAGTAAAAATCAGACAAATATAACAAAATGGAATAATTCATGGGAAGATTAAGCTGAGTGCTATTTTCATGCAAAATATAAATAACATTATGATAAGGATACATATACAAAATATTTTATAGTACGAGACATTTCATCATTGATAGTATAAAAAATGTTTAAACTTTGTATGATATGTACCAGTTTGTAATTAGTAACTAAATGAATTTTAAAATTAAATAAGCACTTAAAATTTGGCATGAAGCCACAAGGATGTTTATTTTAACTTCTATAACTAAATTTAGAATAGATACAAAATGAAGATTATCTACTGAAATTTTCACATAAGCAAAACAAGAGACAAATTATAGAATGAATATCAAGTTCCATAAAATGAAATTAGTTCAAAGATTACAAAATAGTTTGTACATAAATCAGAACTTTTTTTCATACCAGTTACATATTGGAAATGTAATTTAACAATTAATTTCTAAAATTAAAATCTGTTTGTACTAAAATTCTCTCAAAGCAAATAATTGTTTTCTAAAAATGTTACGATAGAATGCAAAAATTAAATAATAATTCTGTCAATATGAGCAAATTGCATTTTCAGTAAATAACCAATCAGGCCTTGGATTTGAAAATGATCTGATACTGCTACAGGAAAGTGGCTTGGGTTTATACTTTAAGTGATACCGGAGATGATGGGTCCTACAGGAAATGAACAATACAATGAGCTATACATTCTAGACAAAACTGAACTTTAATTGAGGCATGAGAAAAACTGACTAAATAGCAGAAGAAATCATCTGTTGCAATCACTTGATTTTTTTTAATATAAAAACAGCAGCAAAATGTTTCATATTTCCATGTAGTATTAATTAATACTATTCTGATAATATAGTAGTTTGTTTTTTTTTTTAAAGGAAAACTCAAATGTTCTTTAAAGCTAATTTGAAATTTGTAAGGAAAATCATTATAACTAAAAAATGCCTGGGTCATATCCAATATAAACTTATTTACAAAATGATTTAAAAGACACTCAGTTTTCCTACTGTAAGTCACAGATTATTTAAGTAAATATCATTAAATTCAGGAAGGTTACCTGAAGAGATATTTCAGATACATCAAACTCAAGTACATTGCACTTATTAGCATCAGTCACTAATGACAAGTTAACACTAAAAAAGCACTACATATTGCAAAGCTAATGATAGATGCAATATGATTAGCAATATAGAAGGATTAGAAAATACAATGTTTAACTTACCAGGTTGTATACTTTACAGCTCTTACTAAATAAGTGTACCACTTCAATTGATTTAATAAAGAAACTTAAATGTTTAAACTAATGAATTATTTTTTATTCAATTTAACTTACATGAAAAATCTGAAAAATTTATAAAATCAAAGATACATTTCTATGGATAAATTCTTCCAAATTCCCTTCAAGAATTATGATAAAAAGTACCTAACTAGCTCTCTGAAACTAAATTCAATATTTAAATTTGAAAAGCAAAAAACCTTTTTAAAAAGGCTACCTATAGAATGCATATAGTCCTATTCATTATGTATTAACAGAGGAAACGTAATAGGCAACAATCTATAAAAAGATGTAAGCAAACAAAATGCAAATAAACATTTTGCTCTGAATCTAAAGAATTTAGATTTACATGAAATAGGACATTGATATCATTTGTAAAGCAACATGCATTATCACAAGCAAACGGGTAATGTAGAAGAATAATAATACTCTGAAAGAGCATATATATATATATATATATATATATATATATATATCACACATACAATACATAGATATGAAATTCTCTGCAGGCAACTTACCAAAATTCAAAGCAGAATCAAAGGGCCATTTGGTCATCCCTGCAGGAATTAGAAATAGATATAGCAAGAGTAAGTTAATACAGAGAAGTTTTAGAAAGTCAAATGTATATCTATTTAAGTGAAGAAGTGAGAGACTCAAACAATAAAGTAAAATATCACAATTTTCAATAAATATTTCCTTGAAAAATAAAAAACTCTGAAGTGATTCTAAATTAAAAATGTACACTATGAAAAATAAATAAAAATGATATGTGGACCAAAAGCCATGTGTTGTGTAATAATACAGTTAATAATGATTAATTCAAAACCTGGTCATTGTACTGAATAAAAAAGATCTGTTGCAAGAAATAGTTATTCAATCTTATTATTAATTATTTATCAAAAGAATAATTTTGTTTCGAAAGGTCATTTATAACCTGACACAAAGAAATCTCTTCAGGATAAAAGCTTAAAATAAATTTCTTAAAATCCTTCAAAATATGAAACAAACTTATATGCTACTCAGTCAGATGTTTTTTTCAGTTATTTTACAAATGAAAACAAAATTAAGCCCTACACTTTGCTTAATTAAGAAATTTCAATAGAAAAGAAAATCTTTGAATACATCATTAATTACATAATTGCCTGAATAACAAAATAAATCAAATATTTCAATATCGATTGATTATAAAGTAAGAAATATTATAGAAAATAAATGCTAAAACATGGTAAAGGAATTAATTGTCAGTTTTAATAAAAATTATCAGTATCATAATTTGGCACAGACCTCTCAAACAAGAAAACACATGAATTGATAACAAAAAGTATATATATATTATATATATATATATATATATATATATATATATATATATATATATATATATATAGAGAGAGAGAGAGAGAGAGATACACAACCTGATCATATCCTTTGAAATTTCCCATACCAAAAATCATTAAGTATTATCAATATGAATAAAAAAAAAAGTAGAATAATTTAGAAATATATAATTTAGTAAAATCCTCATGAAACAATCTCTTCTATTCAAAATATAACAATATTTAAACACTTTAATTGTATGAATTTTATTAATTTATGTTTAACTATAGATAGCATGTTTTAAAACTAATAAGTCTTTGCTTTTTATATAGCAATAACCAATAGAAAAAGTGTTTATATTTCTTGAATTCAGAAGTTATTCAACTATGCATTTATATATCCAATTTTGGTGATTAAAATAGTATTCAATTCCTTATTAGAATCTAAAACTCTGAATATATATAATGTAATAGCTTAATGCTCACATTTACATGATGTACAATCATACTCCCTTACTACAGAATGATGCTAGAGTATGAATTTGGGTGGATCAGCAGAAGTCATGTAATCAATTTAATACTACACTTCTGAGTCACTACTTGTAAAACATTAGGAAATGTGAGAAGCTATATATATATATATATATATATATATATATACAGTATTGTACTGGTAAAGAATTTTGAAGTACTACCTCTCCCAAAGTGACAAATTTTATTTTTCACCCATTATACAAATATTGAGAAAGATCTGGAAGAAGAGAATTGCCTAGATGACTGTTTGTAAATGGCTTTGTAGACCTTTTGTTTTTAAGAGGCAATACCCTGCTCTCATAAAAAGGATTCATAGAGGTTGAACTAGTTTTGAACTCATTATTCTTGATTATTTTCTTAAACATATAATCAAGATGAAGTTTCTTTTTATGGTTGTTCATACAACAAAGGAAATAAAATTAGTTCTTGATCTTTCTTAAAATTATATTTTCGTCTTTTGAAACTTGATAAGGAGTCATTCAACTACATTTTCATTTCTAACAACATATCTATAATTTCAGAGACAATACAATATTGTACTATAGGCATTTACTCAAGATGCATACATTCAGTGAAATGTTCTTCATGGCTTAATACTTGTTATATTCATTTCTTGTAAAATATTTTGCATCTCTTCAACAGCCTCATTCTCATTCAATGCACCACATTCTGTAAAGTTCTGGTCAAAATTTTCATCACATATATTTTCAAATATCAAGGCCAGTCACAACTGATGCCATCCTTTCTTTAGCATCAATGATTTAATTTTTTTGTTTAAATCTTGTGAGTGCTTCTTCATCCACTATTGATAAGATTCTCCAATGTGCACATGACTAATATAAAGCAGTTTTTATATATGCATTCTACACTTGTTTGCAGTGGAGATTTCATTATCCACGAGCTTAGCAAATTCATATACACTCAGCATGGTTTCTGAATTTTTTTCTCCATATATATATATATATATATATATATATATATATATATATATATATATATATATGTGTGTGTGTGTATGTATGTATGTATGTGAGAGAGAGAAAGATAGAGAGATCGATAGAACAGACAAAGATTTTTTTATATATATATATATATATATATATATATATATATATATATATATAGAAAAAGAGAGAGAGAAAAAGATAAACCATTCTTGATTGAAATTACATTTATGTTCTAATTTAAGATCTTTATAGTACAACTTTGCTGGTTTCATTAATATCCTGCCTGACAATTCTACACCATCACTCTGATGTTGGAATCATCTTTCAGTTTTTCTAATGCTCACTTCATTTACTTACTTTGTGTAAAGAATTCAAATATCTATTCTCTTTTTGAGGCAATGGCCTATATCTCGTCCAGATTATGTACAGAAACACTCCAATCAAGTTTCCTCAACACTTCTACCTTTCCTTTCATAAGTATGGACAGATCATTATACATTACATCACTACTGGCATCTACTTTTTGTTTAAAACTAATTACTAGGTGTAATATACGTAAATTAAACTGGGAATTTTATAAAATCAACAGAGCAGTAACAATCACCACAACATAAACAAGAGATAACTTGTTACAGACAATATCACCAATGTCCACTCAGTGAACTAACATGAAAGCAATAAGACATTCGATTGTCCACTCATAATTATGTCTGGATTAAAAGAGGTACTGGATCATCAATTACCAGAAATTGGAGATGAACCTATATTTTATACACAATCACATACATTAGTTTCTAAAGGAAATCTAACATAATTAGATGTATATTAAAATTATGAATATAGTACAAGACCACACACTAATGAATTTTAAATGCTTACAAAAGGCAGGAATAAATCAAGGTTAATTTTCCTTCCAATATGTCTCCAGGTGATTTCCATGATTCCAACAGAAAGAGAATTGTAAAGATAAAAAACATAAATGGAAATGTTTGATATTCAAATCTAAAATCTCAATGATAATGCATCTTAATTTAAAATTACTTTAAATTTCTGTAGATCTAATTTCAAGAATAACTATTCTTCAGTCAGTTTCCTTTAAAGAGTAAATTTATGTAACTTTTTGAAGAGGAGGAATATGCAAGTTATTCTATTGTTAACATCATATAAAGTCTTTTATATTGGATCTCCAATTGTTATAGAAACTTTGCACACAGATACTGGTAATCTATAAATATGCAGCATACATGCTATAAGCATTACAGATAATTAAGAAAAATAGTCATCCAGCCTTTTTAAATCTCACCTTAAAGAAGTCTCTTGATTAGTCACATATTCTGGAAATTTAGACTGAGCCATTAGAAAAGAAAAAAAAATTATATTATTAAATTCATAATTATAACAATATAGAACCTTAAACCTGAAGCAAAAAATATATTGTTTCGGCTAACACCATAAGTGCCTTTAAAACTAACTTGTCCTCAGCTTGAGTTACAATGATCTCCAATATTTGCCCATTTATCAGGTGATCAAAGTTTCATATTTATTTTTTCTTTGTATAAAAAAAAAAAAATTTCTTTTAGTATATGCAGTTATTCTAGGTTACATTATTCTCTTTGACATCTTCATGGAGAAATAAAATGAAGTCTAGTATTTTTCAGTTCATTAAAGCTTTGAAGTAGTCATTTACAAAGATTACATAATTCTTGAATTTCATCAATAATATTTATGCATTTTTCATACTAATCTGTTAAAGATTTATCAAAGCTGAAGTACAATGGGATATAAACCTCAAAATCTTGAAATCTAATCACGGGCTCTCACACTTGGAAAAGATGAGACATGAAGCTATAATATCAGAATAGCTCAAGTTAATAAACTGAAAATAATTTTTAAAACATTCAAAAGACCATATTTAAATGTAAACTGAGTTACTCCCTTTATAGGTGAATTAAACTGGGCCCTAAGCTAAAATCCACACATACAACAAGAAACATTACCATAATAATATAGCAGTAAATTTAATAAATATTTAGAATACAGATAAGCCAACAAGTGTTAGAATGTTACCACCAAAAGTAATAAGTTGGACAAAATTGCCTTCAGAAGAAAAGTAGAAAATACAGACCATAAGAGCACCAACAAATTTTATAATCATCATCACACCTTATTGATACCAAGACAACTGCCTATCTATTCCTAGATACTCACCTTTGAGACAGGCACTTGATAAGAAATGTTAACTTTGAACCACTCTTTACATTGAATTGACGATGGCTCCTCAACCTGAAGAAAGAAAGAATATTGAATAGAGGAACTTTTGTTTACTGAGAAGCAATAAAAATCTATACCTGCTTGAAATGTCAAAACTTGGATAAACTGTATTAGATAGGAATGGATCATCTCAGATAAATAATGAAAAAAATGAAGAAATTGCATAAAAGAATGCACAGATGGAGTGAAGATGCATAAAACAAACCAATCCTTTCAGTGAAAACAAACTGGTAATAATAAAGAACTTAGATAAAATTAAGGAGTCTATTACAAACTAAAGTCAATGTAACTTTCCACAAATGACACACAAAACCACTGCAGAAACAAATCAAGACTAAAACAGCTTTTTTCCACAACAAAACAATCAGATAATAGCTAAGTTGATTATGAGCAATAAATCAACATTTTAAATACTACCAAGAAAATTGCCTTTACAGTACAGATTTATTTCATAGGCAACGATAAGTAATGTAAACTGTTAATAGATTAAATTTACAAAACTGGTAAGATATAAACTAGTCATCTGCATTGAGAACTAAAATAAGTATCAGTAGTAAGTACCACTTTTCAATATGACACGATCACATCAAGTAAATATAAACTGACAATATTTTTATATATTAATTCTGACAATAATCTTGGTTATTATTTTTCCTTTTCTAGAATAAATAAGAGAAAAAAATAAAATCTATGAGAATATAATAGAAAATGAACAGAAATAACATACATAGATCAAAACAAAGAGTAAGAGTCATCCAGAAAAAACGCCAAGTTGCTTCAATCATTTTAAACTATCTCATGAACCTTGATACAACAACCAAATAAATCATTAAAAACTATTTGATTTCAAACAGACAAGTCATGCATACTAACAATACAGTTATTATATAGCTTTCTATTTTGAACCAGCATGCTCTTCTTGGTTTTTACTATTCATATTTCAGCTACTGTACTCTCCGTCCTACTTCAGGTGTCACCCAAACTCATGGACTGAATAAAGGGTTTGGTTCAAAATCCCAAGAAGATTACAGAGTATGATGACAAGACATCTGAAAATTGCCAGAGGAAACAACAGCTGAAACATTGTGAATATAACCAACCCAGATGAGCATGCTAGTCCAAAATAACATGGCATATAATAATTCCTCCCTTCAAAAATTCCAATATAAACAATAGAAATTGCAATCTTATCTAAGCATGAACAATAATCAACTTGAAAATGTTTAAGGTACACAAGATGAATTCTATAAATTGCTATAGAATGATTTAAAAATGTAAAAAAACATTATCATGAAGTTATTTTATTAATGCAGAAATTAAGAGTCTGTCTATTTCTGAGATGAGGTATTATGTACAGTATTTACATTAGTCGGACTATGGTCCTCATCTTTGTCGCCATATTTGTCACAGCGTTTGGCCGCGTTATGCGCTCGCCTTCTTCAAAATTCCAACCACCTGAAGAAGGCGGAGCACACAACGCCCAAAAACATTAGACAAATATGGCAACTTTGTAAAGTGCTCATAAAAATCAAGAACTGTTCAGTTTCCAAATAATGCCTGGTTTAGAGTGTTTTTAAAGCAGTAGTTTTCCAATACATTTTGACAGTTGTGGCATAATGCTACCCAATGTTAATCAACATAATATGTAAATCAAATAATTAAAACAGGTATAGGAAATAACTAGAAAATTCTTATCTGATTTCATAGAATGAAAATAACTTAATATTGTTCATCCACTTAAAGGTATATATATATATATATATATATATATATATATATATATAAAACATGCACAAACTCAGTTATCACTGATGAATATCATTTTTCAGATTATCCATGCACTGATCTCATGCAAAACTCCAGACTTTTTGCAGTTAATGTTAAAATTAAAAATGAAAAGAACCTACTAAAAATACAAGGCTACATTAAAAAAAATAATGGAGACATGTAACAACCCAAGCTGAGAAGATACATTACAATATTTCAAATAACAATCATTGATATATATATATATATATATATATATATATATATATATATATATATAACACCAGATAGACAAATAATAGGCTTGTTTGGAGGCAGTTGACAAATGGAAGACACAAAAACAAGGAGACAAAAGAGTCAACAAATAGTACAAATCGAGCAGCTGATACCAAAAAAAAAAAAAAAAAAAAAAAAACATAGTTGCCGGTGAGAAATGGCTAAAAATGTTGGCAACTGCTGTTTCTTTGTTCAAGTACATACTTTACTTCCTATATATGTCAGACTTTATTATGCAAGTCATTGTTTCCACAATAAAATTGGTATTAACTGATATTGGTCAAATTTTCAGGATATACAAATTTATATATCAGTTTCAGCTTTATGATAGCTGTCCCTATTAAAAATAATTGATAACTTGCTGGGAAGGTGGAGGTCATAAATTGTGTAATAAATTTGGTTTATAAAAAAAAAAATACAAGTCACAAAAACACACCATGATTAACATAATATCTCCATAGTTCTGAATAATTTATTTTACATGTTAATAAGAGGTCTTTGATATTCTATAATTTACATCAGTCTTTTAACAATTGATTTTGTTAACTTTTATAGTTTCAACTTTAATATTACTTTGATTGTAAATCATTTTTTATTCCCATATAAACCAATTTTAACAATGCAACACAAGTTTTCTCTTGGATTAATATCTAGAGACTAAAAACCATTCCATTAATTTGGTGTCTTTCAATACTTTTTTTTTTGTTAAGGTGGGTAGCTAATAGCTTTGAAGAATGTGAAAGCACATTTTTTCAATAAATATATATTATAGCTTAACACTTCTTAGAGGTGCCATTCAAAAAACCCGTTATGTCCAAAAAATTATAATAATTCTCCACCTCTAGCTTGATAATTGAAGAGGTCTATAATTTTACTGTCAACAATCCTGGCCCAAAACATTACTTCACCTCTTCTCAGTCATGTTAGTTGACTATATGTATGAAGAACCCAACTTCTAGGCCAGTCATCAGGTCCATGCAATGTAGCTCTATATTCATCATTACAAAATTACTGCTGAGAAATCAATTTTTATATACTTGTTTGGGATGTTTACTTAAATGTGGTAGTTGGGATCCTTCCCCCATCTTTAGCCAATGTTCATAATATTCACCATCTTTTCTGTTTACATTTACAACACCAGCTTCTTTAAATATATTTTTTTGCTAGCCAACCCACCCTTTTACTTTTTCTCAAATCTTTTTTTTTTTTTTACAACATTCTTAAAAGTTAAATTTTCTTTGTTCTTATCATACAAATGTTTTCAATTGTTTTTACTGTCCTCCGATCTCTGTGCAAAACTTTTTAAAATATCCAGTGTCATGTTCCCATCACTCAATAACTTACAATATCTTGTTTTTCTTTTGAGGTTTTATCTTTATGACCCTTGCCAATCTTTATCTGAAATTAAAAAATAAGTAGCAATAATTATACTATTATATATATATATATGTTTACAATGTCATGAACAACCTTTGAGTTACATAAAGTTATGGGAAATGTTTTTAATGAAAAGTTATAAGCTGAAATTCATATGGCATGTAGCCAAATGATGTTGTAGAATATCAACTTTAATGTGAAAATATTGATCTGATCATAAAATCTGACATTTTGTGGATACATGGTAAATATGATTCAAAGGAGAAGAGAGAGTTTTCATCATCAAAAATTAAATTTATTCAAACAATGGGTCTACTAATCACTGACAGAAATATTTCATGAATTTGCTCATTTAAATAAATGTCTGACTAGATTCAAGCAACAAGAAGGACTTTATGGTATTAAAATATTGTAGCCACTGAGAGATCTAAAAATTCCAGAAATTTAATATATGAAGTTTGATTTTAAAAGCTGACAACATAGAGTGACATAGAAAAACTAAGCTAAAAGAAGGGAAAAACCTACAGCGTTGTTAGAACACATAGGAAAAAAAAGGTTTAAGAAAAAAATTAGAAATGCCAGGAGAATAAAAAAAAAAAAAAGAAAAAGAGAGAGAACAAACTTCTCTCTAATTATCAACAAGAGATCACAGGTGAAGAAGTTTCACTTGTAGTTTCAAAAAAGACATGTCATAAGAGCACTCTTGCTCGTAAGGAGAAAAAAAAAAAAAAAAAAAACTTATTTCTAATGAAAATAAAGGTTTCCAGGGATTTTTCTTAACGTTTATATAAATTTTTGTTTTTCTAAAATTCTGTCACAATTATAGTGTAGAACCTAGCAAGCCATAAGTTTTTTTTTAAAAAATCTGAATATCAAGTAAATCAGTAAAATTTATAGAAATAAACATTCCAATAGATAAAGAATAATTTCTGCCATCAGAAAAATGATCAGGAAGAAAACAAAATTAAGAAGTTACTAACATTGAACCTAGTAATGTACATGAACATGAGACAACCTTAAAGAAAAATTACAATTTTGAAGAATTTCATTCAGCACACAAAAGCATAAGACAGAAATAGTTATATAACCACAGTTCAGATGTCTATCAATTTTCAATTAAAAATGATCATTTCTTTTTCTTCATTTAAAAAAAATACAAAATTTCTTGTTCTATACAAGAATGATCTGTGAACAGTTAAAGTGAAAAAAGATATTATTCTAAGAATGAAAAATATTTTGTTGAAGTTAATAATGAACTTCAATATCATAACTATGTTTCATCTCTTTAAAACCATTTTGAAGTCATTTAAATAATCCAAAATATGTTTTGCCAACACCTTTTTGCCACTCTGCTACTGTTTCACCTATAACCCATTGTCTAATGACATAGTGTCCTATAAGCATAAACATTATTCACAGCAATGTGTTACTTTATCATCTAAACTGGAAAATAATCAGGTAAGCTTCAATATAAACAAATCAACTCTTAATATTTTTTCAAAAGTTAGATTTGATTTTCTTACCAATCTAACATCTTACAATTATTTATGCTGACAATGAAAAAGATGTTCAATATCCAGTACTTTAATTACAAACCCAATTGTTGATTTTCAAATTGATAAAAAAAAATCCTGTTTCAATATAAACTTTTTATTCTACAAAATACAAGAAAATAATTAAATACTTTCATGTTTAATAAACTTATCTCTTTTTTTTTAGCAATTACATTCATGTTCATGTCTAAGATTGTAATGCTACATCTCATGGGTGATCAGGTCACCAACTTGAATATCAAAGGGACTGAGAAACAAAACAAGGTAATACAGTATACACTTTTACTTGATCTTTTTTGGTGTCAAAAAATATCAGTAGATAAAACTACAGTCAATGTAAATAGAATTAATCTCAATGTTTAGCTAGAAGCCATCAAAATGCAGTTCAAGAATATATTTAAATTTCAAAATTTAAAATTAAAAGAAAACAAAAAAGAAAAATCTATCAAAAATACTGAGTAACAGTAATTTTAGCTGGAAAGGTTTTATCAAGTTTAATATATGCCCCAAAGATGTTAAGAACAAAAGAGAATATTGGGACAGCAAGATTGTGTTGCACCAATCTTCCAAGTGAGCAATAAAAATCTGCCACCCTTGAAAATCAATATTCAACAATTGGCTTTCAAAAAGAAAAAAATTTCTGGTTGACAATTATTTTAATCTCTTAATTATTATCTGTTGTCAACCAGAAGCTCATTGATAGTTGCCCAGATGGTTAATATTCTTATAACCAATAGCAATAATTTTTAAGCTCTCCCTCATTAATCAATTTTATTATATATGTGTATATATATATATATATATATATATATATATATAAATAAATAAAAAATCAGTCCTGATTCTAGGTCATCAATGTTTGTCAGGATCATTACAATCTTTAACAAAATATACTATTGGTATAACATAGATGCTAAAATGATTCCTTTACTCTAACTAAAATGTATAATTTTTAAAAATCTCTCTGCATGAAATAAAACAAAAAACAACAAAAAAAATCATTTTAGTATTTTAATTTTAATAATTCTATAAAAATAAACATTTATTTAAAAAACAATTTCAGACATGTAAGAAAAAAAGAGTGAGGGAAAAGTCTTTGATATGTTTGTCTGTTTATTGTCCCCTTTCCATTTTTTTTATTGTTTTATAGCCTGGTTATCAAGTCACTGATGGTAAAGAGGGGAATAATTGACTGATATCATATTTCCTCAACACTACTCCAGTCACACTCCTCAGCCCAACTCTCCAGTCAAATGAGTTAAGACTGCGACTCTTTGAGTTTTGCCCATTTTATGGCTAAATTCAATTTGCCCTTTTTCAATTGATACATTCTGCTATAAAAAAAAACATATACTGTATGGAATAAATTATTTAAAATTGACATTTGAAAAAAATAACTTGAAATAAAAATGCGTTTTTTGAAAAATAGGGTATACATGTCATTAGAAGATTATTTATAAAATTAAAGCAAGAAATACATTGCCTATTATGTATGTCTCCAGGCTGATAGGGCTCAGGTCTACACAGCCCAACTAACCACAGTAATTTTATTTCCTTTTGGTTAATATTTTGAGGCACAGAGTCAAAACAATTAATTTTGGATCCAGCTGAAGTCAGGAATGAAAATGATGCACTATGAAAAATTTTTGTTGCCTTAAAATAGACATACTTGAATGTTGACTCACTTGGACTGAATCTGAACCGTGGAGCCATCACTGATTTTTATATATATATATATATATATATATATATATATATATATATATATATATATATATATATATATTCCATATCCAGTTATCCAATCATTATAAAGTAATGTATATATTCATTGTTCCTTTTTCTATTTATTTTTGATGTTCTAAAAATATTGGAAAAAAAAAAAAAATGTTTACAATTTTACTTTCTTTACTAAATAGAGTTTGTTTCTCAGAAATAAAACAATTTTCCTAAAAAACAAAAACAAAAATAACTATATTGCATCATATTCAAATGATCAAAACTTATTTTTTCAAGTTGGGATTTACATAGTAAGGAAATTTCTCAAACTTACACTGTATCTTAGCCTCTGTTAAGACTGACATAGGAGTGGGAACAGCTTTTTCTCTGCTATTGCCTACCTGGCCAAGGTAGTTGTGGGAGAGTAGTTTACTCACATATTTGCTTCTCTAACTACCATTGTGAAATACCAGTCATGAGACACTTAGTCAAGATTAGTTTGGCCATAATGGAATTGAATGCAGGTATAATGCAATCCAAAATATTAATGCAAAATACAAGATCAGAAAAATTAACATTTTGCAAATGGACAATAAATGAAAACAACCAACTTATACATTAATTTTAAAATTATAAATTTCTGAGAAAAAATGTGTTTTATTTTGACTTTTAAATATTTAATTTTAATTTCCCAAAATAAATTTGTTAAAATTTAACTAGTCAGTTGATTTGTAATGATTTCTTTGTGTGCAGATGGATTTGAAACTTTAACAATACTATAGACAATAGCAGCAAGACAAAACTCAAATTTTGGCTGAAAAATAATTAAATAAAATTGAACATCAGTAAGATTATTTTTATGTATTCTCTACTTTTTTTTTTAAATTAAGTCAATTTTTATAGATATGAATGAAACATTGTGTACATTTATAAGACTGATTTTAAGTGCTTTATTTGAATGCAACACACTCTTAAATTAAAACATTTAGTCAAAGATATATTCCTGATTAAAGGAACAATGAATAGCAAACCAACTATAGAGGGCTGGCATATTATAAGGTAAAGTTATTCAACCAATAATCGTCATGTCTAAAGAGTGCTTAGAAAATTATTAGCATGATTTTGAAATTTAAAGAAAATTTTCCTAAGATAGATACAATTAAAATGACAATTCATTCTTTTAAGAGAGATGAAATATTTCATATATGGCATAAGTCACAAAACCAAAAATAAATGATATTTCAAACCTTGAGTCACATTATAATTTTTATTTTAAAAATACAATGTAAAGATATTTTTTTTTAATTTTAACAAATTTGGTGCATAAAAAAAAGGAAGCTATAAGTAATTGTCCTACTCAGACTAGTATTTAACAGTTATATCATATATCCTCTTTTAAATTAATTTAATCCCTTATTTCCTACAAAACATTCCTCTGAATCAAATTTTTGATTAAAAGATACTATAAAGAACTTGTTTATGTTACTAAAAAGAAAAAAAATTACTTTATAATCAAGCACTGATAATAATCTATTTCACTAATGAATTTCATTCAGCTGATATATAAAAGATAATTTTTTTCATTATCAGGCATGAAAGGCACTAATCAAAGGAAAACCTCATATTTGGACATTCTTGCCAACTTCAGAATACCAATTCTATCTTTTATTTATACGACATGTGAAACAGAATGATGTATTTGTTTATATTCACCTTATCTCATAATTATTCTTAACTTTATGAATACAATTAAATAACTACAGCTGAATAGTAAATCAGAATAGATCAAGTGAGTTCCAAACATGAAAAATAACATCTCCACTGAGATAAGTTTTATGAATATGAAACTCCAATAATAGAGCACATAATTAGTTTGAAATAACAATGTCATAATAGCTAAGAAAGATATATTTAGAAAATACAGTAAGAAATATTGAAAACAAAATTATAGAAAATTGGGAAAAAAAAATTGAATTCAAGCACAAATTTTCATACCTGAGGATCAAATATGAAAAATGGCATGGATATTTTAAAAGATAGCTAAATTATCAATTAATTTGAAAAATGACATCTAGGTATCAAGTTAACTTTAAAAAGCAGAGATTGTTTGAGAATGATAAAAAAAATAAAATTATATAAATTAGATTCTAAAACTAATAGCTTCAATCAGCCAAAATATGAGGAATGAATGAAAAATCAGCAGTGATAATGAAAGGAATCAATATATTCTAAAGACTAGAGGATATCAAGTATATTTACCATAGATGTAATAATGAAGTCTTTAGGCAGTGTTTATAACTGGATAGTGGCAACGGATTGAATCCTAGAAAAATGGAAAATTTAAAATTAATGTTTTGTAATAAAAGCATTAAGCATATTTTATTTCAAAAGGCATCTTTGCAGAGAAAGCTTAACAGAATTAAGTTAATTCGGCAATTAAGAAAAAAAAAAAACCAAAAAAATACCACTACATTTAAGTTTTTAATTATTAATAAATAAATATTAAGCATTTGGATATAACTGACCTATTTTAGACATCTTATGATTCAGAGAAATGCTAATATGCAAAAGTCAACTATCATTCCTATTTTTACAGAAAATAGAAGTTTTAGTGCAGTTTCTCAAGTTTGATACAAACAATTTCATTATATAAAAAGAGAACAGTGTCTGTATACAGAGTAATATGGTGTAATGAAAGTGTTATTTTTGCTATATAAAAAATATAAAACTTTGTAATTATTGTTATCTTGGCCTTTTGTCAAGTGCAATTATAAAAAAATCATTTTCTTCATATCTGTGAATTTTGTAATGACAATCTACTACTTGTACTATATAGATTTATTCTAAGATTTTACATTAATACAGACAGTATAAAACTGAAGGCTAAATTTGCCAAGAATTTTTTTTCTTTTTTATAAATCAACCCAATATTAATAATGAAAAACAAGCAATTGTCATGGTCATCAACATAAAATCCACCACAAGACTATAAGAATGTCTAAAACACGTATTGATTAGAATCAAAGAAAATTATATCTAAACATACCAAATAGATTTTTTATTCATTTTTTTTCTTCCTTTTCAGTCAAAATTTTGAAATACACATGTTATATAATTGTAATTTTGTAACAAAAAATAAATGAATGAAGTTTTAAATAAAATCTTTCTGAACATGAAGAGCACTATTTTTAAAAACTTCATTCTAATATTTACAGAATTACTATAAAGTTTCATTGATTTTAAGCATCAATGATAATGGATTATGTTTTTGTAATCTTTTTCATTAGGACATAACATTTGTTTCAAATTTGATTTTGCATAAAATTTGATATACACAAAGTTAAAATATAAAAATCAAAACACTATTTCCGAGTTATAATACACAAGTAAAACGCACTTTTCCTGTCAAAAGTAAAAACTAATTTACAATTGAAATGATAAAACAATTTGAAGTTAATATGATAGTTTTTCTAGTAGATGAAAGAAATTAAATTGGTTGCAAGGCAATGTCAACTTGATTAAGAATTCTTGTAGTACTTGAGATTACTCTGATCTGGTTCCATTCAGTTACTATGTAAATGAAAACAAACTCAACTAAACAATAAAACCACCAATGAAATTTGATCTTTGCAGAAAGCAAAAAGCAATTAAAATGCTACAGAAAGATCAAATATCTTTATTGATTTGGTTGAAAAGCACAGACCTACTGTGTCATCTTATTCCAGCTGACTGTTGCTTGATGAATTGCCAAATGCTGGAAATTTTTTGTTTTTTTTACTATGATGTTCACCATGTACAAGGCCCAAGAGCCACTCTATGTAAAGGGTTACAGAGTAAGAGGCACAGTTTATGGGGATATGTGAGGAAGATAATGGTTGACTCTAGACTTGAACATACCAAGATTGTAGTGTTTACCTAAGCATCCTCTTCAGAGTCAGTTCCACAAAGTAACAGTTTGTGGGAACAAACTGCTTGAGTATGGTTTAAATTAGACAAAACACCCAACCCTATACAAAGTTAAATATGTAAACATTTCACATAACATAATTAAACATTTCCTTCTTTATTAGTATTTCAAATAAAATTATTACATTAAACAAAAAGATTTTAAACGATAATCTTAATTTAGTATGAGAATGTTAAAAAGTGAAAAATCTCCAAGAAAAAAACTTCAGGTATTTTAAAAGTATAAATGACCAATGTTGAAAAAGAAAATGCTTCTACATTAAAACAATTTTGTCACAGGAAAATAATTAACAAAAAAAATGTAATAGATAGGACTTTAAAAAGCACAAGTAAGATATCTATTCAACTCAAGACCACATTTATGGAGTACCTAGTGAACTTACCATCAATGGTTTGCAATAAAGAAGTTAAGAAGAGCTATTCACAAAGCAGCTTTCATAAATACAATTACTGATATGTTATAAATTTAAATAAAAGGAAACATAACAAGACATGAAAATAAAAAGATTATTTGAAATGAAAAATATTTAAACTTCTTTGACATTATCATTAATATATACATTATAAAACCTGTTGAAATTACAATGGATCACTAAAACTATTAAGATCTAATCCTTCATACGGTGAAACTGAGGTCAAAATTTCTATTCAAAAATAAGACATTGCAACCACTAAATTTAGAACGTATAAGAATGTCACAAATAAACTAAAACTGAATATTCCACTGATATACGAAATTAACAAGATAATTTCTGAGACTTCCTATAAAAAATTATGCTTACAAGAAAATTTAAACTATCTAAATACTCTGTAACACAAGGGATTTTACATTCTATTTTAAAATTCTAAGAAATAAGTTTAATTTTAATCTGTATAAAATTTCAAGAAAAAAATATTAACGTATAAACCGTCAACGTCGGCGTTAAAAATATTGTAAAAGGAAACTTATGAAACGACAGAAAATTGAAGAGTTATGTCCCTTAGTTCTTAGTTTTAAGCTCGCTGCAGTTCTCAGTGATGAAATAAACAAACAAAAAAGTTCACAGAAATGTCTAATTTTTCAATGAAACTGTCTTTATAAATGAAATTTTTTGAGTAAAAAAAAAAACTGTTTTTAGGAGCAGATATGTTTATTATTTGCCAGAACTTAATGCAAATAAATAATTTAGCTCATTATATGAATTTGAATGAATTATCTGTTAATCTTAGACAAAAAAATGAAATATGTATTTTAATTAAGTACCTCTTAAAATAGCATACTTAAAATTAAAATAAAATTCAGAAATGTAAATGGCTGGAGATTAATCTTAAAACTAATTTTAAAGTAACATTTTAAAGGGCTGCCTGCACAATTGAAGTAATGGTCAGTTTAGTAGCTTTATTATAATATAAATATTGATTAATTTGCTTGGAAACATTTCTAGAGCTACTATAATTTTAAAGGATCAAACCGTCAATGTATTTTGTTTAGGGGCCAAGTATTTATTCTAAGGACAATAGTTATCTTTGACAGAAGCTATTAATTTCAAGTTTCATGTATAAATTTGGTTCTGCTGTACTTTCATTTTATCGGAGTAAAACTATATTAAACAGATAGGCTTACAGGAATTTCAAATCTTAAAGCAGGACAATTTTCAATTTTAATTGTGTGTTTAGGTTCTTGTAAAATTTATTTTCATGAACTCAGAACTTTTCTGTTTCAGGGCTAATATAAACATATAAACCTACAGGGAGACAGACCATCCAAATGGCGTCATTTGGTAAGCCTATAGGTAATTAAACAGGAGATATTTTATCCAATGAGCTTTAAAAAGATTACTAATATATCATGTTGAGTCCTTCATGAAATTTTCTAGATCAGAACTTACTTTACTGCAGCCATCTCCTCCTCAAGTAATATGTGGCAGACTGTATTTGGTTACATGGTACTAAAAGTATCTAGTAATCCTTGACCTTTTAGGTGGTGTGTATTCATGCCTTTCTAAAGAGCATTAGTACAAAGTGAAGAAAGTATCTTCAACTGGAATCTGAACCCAGTTTTCTGTACTGTTAACTTCCACAAGATGCAAGGATGGATCAATAAGTCCATAGCCTAACATGTTAGTAGCAAAATTATGAGACTAATACACATCCCTGAATTAAACAAGATAATTTATGTTGAAAAATATTTGTGTAAAATAAATATTTTCTTTCTCAACATTAATCTATGCACTTATTGATATATGTAAATAAATTAAGAAATTAACCAAAAAACTATGAAACAATTGCTAAGACAACCAAGCAAAAATGTTTCTATCAGATATAGTTCTGTATTCTATAAAATGTACTTTTTATAGTTCAAACATTTCATCGAGTTCTTTTTACAATTACATAAATATAAAAGAATGTTTTACCTTTTTACTAAATTGTACAAACAAGAAAAATCCTAGCTCTATGTTTTAATATAAATACATTAAAAAATATTTCAAGATTTAAAATGAAAGCAAAAAGGCGAAACACTATATAAAATTGTTCCATAAATATTTAGTTTTTCTAAGTAGATGAAGAAAGAGAAAAAAAAATGAATTGGCTCTTACCTGAGGATGAAGATGATTACAGTGATGTGGTTGATACTTAAGGCAAGATGAATAAGATCTTTGGATTTTCAGCTGTAAAGAGAGAAAAATTAAAATATAGACAAATTTTAAAATCATTGTCAAAAATTAAAAAATAAACCAATCAGAGAATCAAACAATTTTTTTTAAAAGTGTATTCAATTTAATTTACAATAAAATCATAGAATAAAATTAATTATGGATTGAAAAATTTGAAAATGAGCAAACATTAAAAATGAATTTACCTGAGGGGAAGAGGCTTTCAATAAGTCAGGTTAAAAGGTCTTTTTTCAAATATTTTGCAATTATTAAAAAAAAAAAAAAAAAAAAAAGTACAAACTAGTAAGTGATAAAAATTGAGGGTTCCTTGACTAAAATTTTATACAGAAAAAAAATTTACTTTTTAAAAAGTGTGAACCAATAGAGGACAAAAATAAACTTGCCATCAAAATGCATGAAAACTACTCATATTTTGTATTTTCATGAGAGAAAATTAAACCAAGTTATCCTAACGGCAATCATCACAACCAAAAAAATAAATTATTTTTAACCTATCTTTTACTGATATGTTATTATTATGATGAGATATTCCTTAATTCTTGAGTTAAAAGCTATTTACCTTAAAACATTATATACACAGAACAAATAATTTTAATATTGAAAAAAAAGAAGAAATAAAATAAATCTGCACTATATCTTGGTCTTCATTATCTGCTTGCTATTTTTATGTCAACTGAACAACTAGATTCCATAAAAAATAAAAACAATTCCAACATTATGAATTTTATTCAACATATCAAATCCAGATTGATCTTTAAAGAGCAACTTATAATACATATATTCTTAACTTTTATTAAGGAAGAAAATTGAAAATTATTCTCCACTATACAAAGTCTGATTAATTAAAAGAATATGACAATACTCCGAGAAAAGAAACAGCAAAAACAATGCACAATAATTTAGAACTGGAAAACAACGCACATCATTATACAAGATAAAATTTGCTTTCTGTTACTAAAATAGTTAAAATAGATGAGAAAAATCAGGGGGAAAAATGGTTAAAGATTTAGATAAGTTTGTCTAAGATGTGTGAAAATATTTTATTAGAAAGAAAATAATTAACAGAAATAAAATATTTAAAAATAAAAAAGAATAGAGCAAAAAGAATTCGGAAGATGATCACAATAGTTAAAAAAGATGGTAATGTTCAATAGAAAAATCTAGCTTCCTGAAAGTAGAAAATTGTCCATTATAGTTTGATGATAGATGTTCAGTGAGCCATTTCAGACAAGTAAGGGAAAAAGCTGGAAATTAGGTAATGGGAAAAAGGTTTGTTTTTAATTTAAAAAAAAAAAAAAAAAAAAAATGTAAAGGAAAACAATATTTTAATTTAAAGACAACATATTTTATAATCAGTACATTAATAAGGCAAAATCTACAAATGGTAACATGGAATTGATAGTCAGTATCATTATTGAAAAAAAAAAAAAAAAAAAAAAGTACTAATGAATGAGAAAACAAATAAAATAAAATGGTTAAGACTGGATCAATAAATTTATGACCCGATACATAATTATTAACTGAATTTTTATCTAAAATTTTTGTTCTGTTCAGTCTGATTTATATTCATCACCAATTTATTTTAACTTCAGTGACAAGCTTTTGAGATTTTGTTGAAAAATAAATGTTAAAAAAAAAAAAAAGAAGAAATCTTAGAAATTAGTTTGATATTACTGTTTAATAATCAATTAATATGAATAATAACTTGAATGAAATAGAAATTAAAACATTCACTTTAGTTAGTAGATATCAAATTAATACAATCCTAACAGGAAGAATCCTGTAGTGACAAAATGCTATTTCTATAATTACCAATTTAGAATAAAATATTTTTGAAGCAGACATTCATGTCACGACTTTGATGTCAAATTTCTTAAAAATAAACAAATCCCTAAAATTAAAAAGATCAATCATGTGACCCACAAGATTCAGAAAACAATTCTTAATGACAAAATAAAAAAAAAATAAAAATTTTTATCAGCAAGCACTAAACATTTGATTTTAAATAGATGGGAATTTTTACAATTACAATCCACTTTTAAAGTGCAGTTGCCACATTCAATTCAAATAAAAAAAAAATTCCTTCTTGAATGTTGAAGAAATCATTTTTAGTGGATCTTTTGTATCATTTGATCATAATCGCACATGAAGATATTTCCGGCCCTTTAAGGATTTATTCACCGAAACTTAAATATAGATTAGTAATAATGTGAATTTTTCATTAACAGTTTCACTTACCCAAAAACACCAGTGTTCAGTTATTCAACTTTATGCACTCCAAAATTAAAGCAAAAAATACATTTATTTTATTATAATATAAATTTTTAAGATGAAATTGAAACCTGACAAACATTTAAACGGTACTTTAATTATTTCTGTTAATCGTAGAATATTTTTCTTTTTAAAAAAAAAAATTTATGAAAATGAATAAATAAAAATAAGACTTAACAGAATTTAATACAGAATCCCCTCAAAAGATTTCGACAAAATACAAGTGCTCAAGACCTACACGTTTATCTCCCCCTAATCAACATAAAGTGAACTTTGCAACAAGAACTGACACTTTGAATAAATACAAACGAAATGAAAGTGCTTTCCAAGTGTTGCATAATAATACTATTTTCAAATGGGCAGATATCTTCGGTAAAACAGTTTGAAAGTGGATCTAACTGGAAAAATTTAAGAATAATAACAAATAGTGACAAAATTTAAAAAACTGATGAAATGTTAAAATTGATAATGCAAGTCTTGTTAGTACTGTTTTTTTTTTGTTTTTTTTAACTACCGATCGGATCTTCAGCATAAACATCGGAAAATACCTTAATCTTAACTATTCTACAAAACTATTTTTGCATTATAAAATTATACAATGATAGGCCAATTGCAAAACATGGTTAGAACACTGAAATTTAAGAAGCCAAAAAGCTTAGAATAAGTAATTATTTTTCACTTAATTTTTGCGATTCCAATTGAATAAAAAAAGAAAATATCGTGAGATATCAATTTTGAAATAATCTAAAAAATAAATTCATACTAATAACTAAAAAAAAAAAACAAAAAAAAACACTGATTAAGATTGAATGTAAAATTTTGTCAGTAATGTCATAACCAGAATATTGAACCAAAGAAATCGACTTCGTCTGCATCCATTTGCTATGCCTTGATTTAAGGCAAACAAAAAAAAAAAAAGAAAAAAAAGTGACGAGCATCCTCTTTTCAATAAAACATTTCACTAAAAATGCTTAAAGCAGAATTCAGAAATTATCCGAGGATTTGTTCTTTTTCTTTTGTTACCATTTATTTATCTAAGCAAATTGTAAGGCGTGAAGAGAAATACTTTACTTAATAATGCGCAAAAATTCTTTTTTCATTTTTGTACTTTAGTTAGAATATAACGAATGAAAAATACAAAAAAATAAATATTGTAAATTAATTTCAATATCGTTCACTGTCCGAAAAAACAAAAAAAACAAAAAAAAAACAAACAAAAAACCCGTAAATAATGAAACTAAGTGATAATTTGTGTATGTAATAAAAGATTCTCATCAGTTCCTCCATTTTAATTCACATCATAATCTAAGAAAATAAAGACAGAAGGAAGTCACCTCATCCAATCATTTTTAATTTATTTCAATTATTTCTTTATCAAGCTAACTACAAATAACAAAAATTATTTTCGAATTCGTTATTTGAAATGATCAATATAAATTAAAATTATAAGCAAAAATTTAAAAAAAATAAAGAGCGCAAAAAATAAATAAAATCTGGCCTAACAACTTGAATTGAACTAAAAATAAGAGATACACCATAAATCCAAATGATCAAGAAGACACAACGGGCTTTCTTTTAAACATTTAAAATTAAAAAAAAAAAGGAAAACAATTCCATAACCTTCGTTAATAATAATCACGCTGAATTTTATTGAATTCCTGAGTAAAAAAAAAAAAGTACCTAGATTTTGTTTTATTATTATTTAATAAAAAGGGGGCGGAAGTTGCGACATTCACAGTAAGGGCCCCTGTAAAACATCATTATCGTGTGATAATTATTCACTTTTCTTTTTCTTTAAATTTCGTTTTCCCCTTGTCTTAAGAATAAAGAGGTGCATTGATCTTTCTAATTCTAAATGCAAGCGATAAGTGGACGGTGATGATACATGACGATGCAAAAGTTCGCATTTGATTATCAAAAGTTGAAAATTGAACGTCAAGAAATACATTTTTATTCAGTATCCGTGGTTAAAACATGCAGAAATGTGTCGAAATAAGTGTGAGAAGGAGGAGGAGGAGATCAAGCAAGAAGTGGAAACACACCTACTAAAACATTAAGTAAGAAGACGATGAGAGCAGTTAGTTGGGTGTACTGAAAGCTTTCTGGTTGGCTTTACTATAAATTGCTGAGTCTCTATCCCACCCACCCATCTCTCTCACACACACACTCTCTCTCTCCCCTCCTCTCTCTCCTCTCTGTGTGAACAACGGATCGCAGACAGAAAAGAGGGAGGGAGCGTAAGAATTGGCATTAGATTAAAAAAAAAAAAAAAAAGAAAAGAAATAGAGGACAGAAAAACAAACAATTTAAAAATGAAGAGATGACGAAAGTCTTCTGTTTAAAGATGGGATATCCATGAGAAATTATAGATCTAGTTATTATGATTAGGGAAATATCAAAATAACGAAGGCATCGAGGGTAGCAGTATCTGGTTTGGCCTCCATGTTGAATAATTTATGTATTGGCTGCTGATGATTTTGCTGTGTTGTTGCTTGGCTGGCTTGAGACTGTAAAGGAGGGATGAACGAATAGTAGAAAGAAAAAGAAGACTAACCACCAACAGTCAGTCACCCTCAGCCAGGCAAACACACAACACAGGGTGCGAGAAATAAATACTATTACCAACTTCGGCTATGGGAGCTGCTTTCATGGGCTGCTTTATAAACAAGCTGCTCTCTAAATACAATACACTTTTATTACTATGTACTGATAGCCCAAACATTAGTATCAGCATCATTGTTTAATATACAATATATATAGAAAATATAAATTTTAAAGCGATCTCAGATCTTTTAATGAATGACTTTTAGTTTTAAAGTTAATTGTTAGTCTTTCTTTAACAATAACATTTTTGCTAAAATGTACCAAACTATAATTTTGTAAGAAAATCAAGCTCAAAGGTATAATTTTAAAATTTAAGAATAATCAGTTTACTTTAATAAAAAAAATATTTTTTCTTTTTTTGTTATTATTTATTATTATTATTTAAGCAACGCAATACGTCACTAAATTCGATAAGTTGGAAAATAAACTATAAAAGCAAATTTTATATAAATAAATAATATATTTGTATGAAATAAATGCAAAAAAATTGAACTTTAGTGAAGCAAAGAAAGGTAAACAGAAAAAAAATATATTTCCAATACAAATTTAAAGACTTTACAATAAATACAAAACAAAATGTTGTTAATGTAAACAAAACAATTGTCGAAAATAATTTGCTTTTTAAAAATCATCTATATAAAATTTAAAGATTATTTTCTATGGAAAACAAGCGACGAAAGTCGAATAAAATTATAAAAATCTGTTGTACGTATTATGACCTCCTTTTCTTCTCCATTTATTCAGCTACTTTTTTTTTTTAAAGTCTGGATGGATCGGTTAATAAACCAAGCTAAAAATGCATAATTAATGAAAATCGAAATAATTAATATTATAAAAGGTGAAAACCGAAAGTAAACCATTATTTGAAGAAAGTAAATAGAAGAAAAAAAAAAAACATTAAGTAGTCTACGTCAGACTTGATAATGATTTGTCTCGGGAAAGATGAACACACACACACACATAGAGTAGTATCCATTATTTTCGGTACATAAATACGGACATGTGCATAAACAAACATTTACATCATCTTGCAAGTCACTTATGTCAACAAGATTATCATAATAAAGTCCAATAATGTATATTTGATAGAAAACGTTGAGAGTATATTGAGATTTTGCAAACAAACAAACAAAAAAATCAGCAAATAGAAAAATCGTGCCACTGTTCTAGATAGTTTACGATTGCAATGAAAATGAATACAAGTCCAATCACCGATAGATTGGTTGGACGTATAAACGATCGACAAAAATATTTTGTTTAATTCAAGATTAATAAGAAAAAACAACTAAACGATTTTTCTAAAGTGAGCAAATGTTTATGATTTGATCGCAGAATGGCAGAGTAGAGAAGAAATTCAGTGACGACAAAGGGGGAAAAAAAATGAACGGTTGAGGCGAAAAGGCTGACTGACAAACAAGAAGACGTGCTTTAAAACTGGGTGTGAAATAATCGCAACAAATGAAGTACTCGTAAAACGAGTCAAATAAAGTGCAAATATCAGTTTCAGACTCATTTCTATCAGTGTTTAGAAGATAAATTAAAAGAGTGCAACACATACACGCGATCTATTAATAGCACGATTACATGTATTAAACAAGTTTCTGAGTGAAGAGTTAAAAATGGTTTCGTTTGCCATTGCTGTTTTTTTGTTTTTTTTCTAATTCTGGACAAAAAATGGGGGATCGCTTCGGTTCGTGTTTATTTTGTTTGATTGTGTTTTTATCGCAATTATCGGGAAAGCCGATTAATTAAAAATAAATGTATGAAACAAAAAAATCCAACAGAATTGTTTTTATATCTGTATTCATCAAAATTAACGATGGAAATATGAAGTAAAATTGAGTAAATTAATCCCTCATTAAATACAGAAACTCATAACGTCATTTCTAAGCATAGAAAGTCGGAAGTGTATTTTTTTTTAATTTTAAAATAGTAAATTATTTTTTTTTTTAATCATACACTCTAAGATTCACTTTTAAAAAATATAAATCTAATTTTTTTTTCTTAAATTGAAACGATCGTATAAAAAACTCGATTTAAAAAATGATTACAACAAAAATGCAACAATGAAAGTTTACTTGTTTGTATTAAAAAAATACAAGATTAGAAAAAAAATAAACAATCAAAGATATTTTATGTTGTAGAGAGCGATCCCCCATTTTATATCCAACAAACATCAGTATAAAACACAAAACATTTCACATCAATGAAACATAAACAGACATATATACACACACTAGAGTAGTGTGTGTGTACAACAGATACACACTAATTGTTGTGTGGGCAGTTCATGTCTAAATAAATGTTCACAGACGATCAAATAAAAATAATAAAAAAAACAAAATAAAACATTTAAAGAACGATTTTGACGAGATCAAACGATTACCAGCAAAGTATACAACTTTACACAAGAATATAAATAATCGTATGTAAATGTGAGATTATAAAAATAATTAAAAAAATACCTACCTTGAAAAGGAATTTTTAAATGGCCTTGTTTTGTTTTGTTTTCCTTACATATACCCTGCAAAAATTGCACTTTTATCACAGAATCTGCTTGGGGGGGAAATTTATACACACACACGCGGACTTTTTTTTTTTCCTTTTTTATGTTTGATTTGTTGTGTTTGTTAATTTTGGTTTGTTTGAGGATAAATTTTTATGTTTTTTTTTTTTTTTCTTTTCTTCAAAGTGTCAAAATAGAGTTATCTACATAGCACCGGAGCTGAGACATGAATAATATTGCCGAAATATACAGATTCTCACAGTATTTGAGCTGTACTAACAGGCCTGTTTGGGAGGCCAAGTTAGGCAGCAGACACATAACGAAGTGAACCTCGAATTGTCAGATTAATCGGAGATCGATGCAACTGCGCATTCTCGGCACGGCCATGTCACGTGGGATGATGACGACCACTCCTACTCCGTTCACATACTATGCTGCCACCTCTACTCTTTTTTTTCCCTCCCACTCCAGCCTCCTACTTCAACTGCTGCCGTCTTAGTAGGTCCTTTCTAAAATACGCACTCGCGCTTATGGCTCAGTAGTAGCAGGAACACAACGTACCGACTCGACTGATTATAAAAAGGCTGACAGACAGGTTGTTGGTTCTAGTTTATTGCCATCCGCTACCAAGCAAGCGAGTCTTGTTCCCAGACACAACAAATTTGATTTTAAACCAAAAGTAGTGTGATGAAATAGAAATAGCTACTAAAGTCCATGTGATCAAATCTATGTATGATGAGGGATAATAATTGCATAAAAAAAATTTATT